TGCACAAATATCAAAAAAACGATCTTAGACAACAGGGTTTTTCTGACTCGGGTTTATAACATACTAGTGTCGTTGCAGTTTATGCGTAATGCACCTGAATCCACAACAAATACATAACATTTTGACAGTATTCAGTATGATTCATGATGTATGCAAGTTGTAGCGTAACATGGCCTTGCCATAACATTTGTTTGTTTGCAGCAGAATCGGCCCATTAGTTTTTAGTTACCTGTAAATTTATGGATGTTTTTCCTTTAAAACTGTTTGCACAGGGATCTATTTCAAATTCGCAGACATAATGCTCTGGAACAATATTTGTTGGAAGTCGTTCGAATGTTGAAGACATTTTAGTGTTGATTTTTTTTTAAATCAATACATTTTAACTTAACTAAAATAACCCAAATTAAATTAAGTATGTAAAATATAAAAATAATAATAAAATTACCACTTAATTTCCATTTTATACTTACCTTTTTCGATTTTTTTGTAATTTTAAATTATTATTAATTAAAATGAAATCTTTATCATACCATTTTTTAAATTTAGATACGCAAAAATTTTGAAAAAATTGTAATTTTGACAAAATAATTCAAACGTCAAATTGACATTACATATTTCTCAATATTAGTTACTAGATATTTAGGACAATTTGTGAGTTCATTTTTATAAATAAAAACTAGTGGCATCGTGCCTTAAGGCAAATTGCTGGAACTTTCCGTACCGTATCGAAATGTTCGAAGAATATTAAATAATTTTAAATAGATTATTATAATTAATGTAACTATATATATTTATAAAATGTTAATAAACAAAACTTAATCAATCGAATTTAAAATTAAGAACATTGTATAATATTTATAAGAATTATATAAACTGAATTGCATAGTTAGATGTATTTAAAAAAAAATTTGAAAATAAAAAAAATAAATCCCCAAAATGAATAGTTTCGTTAAAACAAGCAAAAAGTTTTTGGTATCATTCAAATCGAATGCTTGGTTCTCTCAAAAACTGCCATTTTTTGCACATTTAGCTCAGTATCTTCGAAATGGTTGGACCTGCCTTTGCCAAAAACTAATCAGCACATCTCCCTGTCAATAGGAATCGAATGTTTTTTTACCATTCTAATCGGTTGATCCGTACGCCCGAAAAATGCAAAATGCACACACACATACACTCACAGATCCGTTTTTTTCTGAGGTATGCCAAAATGTTCAGAAATCTCTGAAACGTTTGCATAGTTTTGTAAATATGAAAGCGCGATAGCGCCGCGACGTAGCTCAAACATTATAAATCTTTATATGAAATTCAAAGAAATGGAAACAAAGTTGAATATACAAAATATCTGATTTCAAGTACATATGTCTAATGAACATTTTTGACTGCCAAAAGGCATTTTTTCACTTTATTGAATCTTTGAAAATTCTAAACCTTTTTTCCAAAAATTCAACCTTTATTTCGTCAATATAAATAAAATGTTTTTTGAATCATTCAAATCGGACGCTTCGTTCTCTCAAAAACTGAATTTCCATCTTTAACTCTTTTTGCTCCTTATCTTTGAAACGGATGGGCCTGCATTTGTAAAAAACTAATTAGCACGTCTCCTTATCAGTAGGAATCGAATGTTTTTTGAATCATTCAAATCGGTGGACAAAATTTTGTATCCGCACATATAATAACATATATATGTAAAGTCTTATTCATTAACCAAAATTAATATTCTATCGTTCATGCTTTTTGGAGGTTAGGTTTTATGTGTAAAATGCCTAATCGCACAGCAAATACGAGCTCATACGAATAAAGAAACATTACAAAGCATTACTAAGACTAAGATTTCTATTTTATCGAAAAATCGACCACTTAGTTTTCTAATTTTAATGTAGTTACTGCTATTAGTTAAAATGTATAGAACGATATGAATAATTTGATAAACAATTTTAATAAAACGTTTTTTTTTTCAATTATGAATGACATTATTATTAGTCAGTAATTACAATTATTCAGTCAATTCTTATTTTTCAAAAAACTCAATTCCTGACAGGTCTGCTTCAGCGCCTTGGCCCTTGCCCTAATTCCTTCTACTGCTGCAGCAATCGCAGTTGCTGCTTCTGGCATCGGATTTTCCTTAAAATGACACTCGATTTCATTCGCCTTGGATTCGCAGGCGAATTTATCAATCAGCATTTTTACCACAAAACCTGGTAAAGGACAATCGAGATGAAACAAAAATTTTAAAGGTAAGTCAAAAAATAATTATTTTTTTCTCACCTGTTCGGACTTTTGATTTGTACATTTTGGAAATTTGCTGCTGGTTGTCTTTCAAAAATTTCCAACATAAAGTCCGTCCTCGGGATGTGTCGCAAATATGCGGCAGAAGGTGCTCGAATTCATCCTCACGACTTAGGCCGTAGTTTAGAAGTTTTGGATTACTTCATCGTTTTGGGCAAAACTCATTGCATTCAGAATTCTTAAAAAAAAACATAAAAACAAGTTGTAAATAGTACTTTGCTTTAAGGCAAGTCGCATAAACTTTCCTCCGATACGAACAAATGCTCGACATACTTATGAAATACTCTTTGAATAAACTTATAGTAAACGAGCTTAAAGAAGTTTTACTTCAAAATATTAAAATTGTGTTTTTTGGCACGTTGGGTATCGTTTGAAAGGTCTTTTTGAATAGAATCCGAATACTAAAAGTAACTATGTGATTTGTTCACAAAATATACACTTTTTACGAATTTGTAGTACACGAGCCTAAAGAAGTTTTACTTCAAAAATTGCGTTGAAGATTCTTAAGAAAAACATAAAAACAAGTTTTAGTAGCATTTTGCCCCAAGACATTGACCCGATACCCAACATAATCAATTTTTAGATTACGAGCTTAAAGAAGTTTTACTTCAAAAAATTTTGATTGTATTTTTTATGGCATGTTTGATATCGTTTGAAAGATCTTTTTGAATAGAAACCGAATGCTAAAAGTAACTATGTGATTTGTTCACAATATATACACTTTTTACGAATTTGTAATAGATGTGCCTAAATAAGTTTTACTTCAAAATTTTTTTATGGTTACTTTTATGGCATGTGGGGTATCGTTTGAAGGTCTCGACGAGTAGAAAACGATTTTTACGAATAAATTATCATATTGTGATAAAAACGTTTTATACATAGCTAAATTTTATTGCAAAAAATATCAAAATATCGAAAAATTAAAATTTCATTAAATTTCATCAAAAGTTCATAGACTTTTATTTAATAATTGAGGTGTAAAACTTTTTTATGTGCTTTTGTACACAAAATATACAAGGTTTATGAATTTGTAGTAGATGAGCCTAAAGAAGTTTTACTTCAAAAATTTTTTATTACATTTTTTATGGCATGTGGGGTATTGTTTAAAAGGTCTCGACGAGTAGTATGCAATTTTCACAAAAAATAATTCTATTGTTATAAACTGATATATACGTAATCATATTTCATTGCAAAAATATGTTAAAATGTATTGATTTTTTTATGCATGTGAGGTGTTTTATGCATGGTGACCAAATATTCACTTTTTACAAATTTGTAGCAAAGGAGTCTAAAGAAGTTTTACTTCAAAAATTTTTCATTGTATCTCTTATGGCATGTGGGGTATTGTTTGAAAGGTCTCGACGAGTAGAATGCGATTTTTTATAAAAAAATGATTATATAGTAATAAAAACGTTATATACATAACCATCCTTTATTGCAAAAAATATTAAAATACTAAAATTTTATTTAATTTTATTAAATTTATCACAAGTTTATAGATTTTTATTTAATAATTGTGGTGTAAAACTTTTATTGTGATTTGTGTCCACAAAATATACACTTTTTACGAAATTGAAGCAGACGAGCCTAAAGAAGTTTTACTTAAAAAATTGTTATGGTTACTTTTATGGCATGTGGGGTATCATTTGAAAGGTCTTTTTTAGTAGATACCGAATACTGAAATTTTTTTTGAAATTTAGCAATAATTCTGAAGAAACACGAATTCTACAATTTAATTAATTTTTCACTTCTTTTTACTAATATAAGTCGTATTATAATACTTGATCATGTACAAAAATAAATTATATAATAATTGTAAAAACAAGTTTGATTAGGTATCACGTGCAAATTACTGTTTTAGATTTACCTTGAGGCAAGTTGCACTTTCAGAATAAAGAAAATAAAGAAATTCAAGAGGAATTCAATAACATTAACAACAAATACTAAATGTGTCATCTACCCTTCGAGCCCTTTCAAATATGTCACATGCAAATTACTGTTCGAGATTTGCCTTGAGGCAAATTGCACTTTAAGTTACTAAATAAAATTAAAAACAAATACTAAATTCGTATTCTGCTCTTCGAGCCCTTTCAAATGATATGTCACATGCAAATTTGTGTTCGAGATTTGCCTTCAGGCAAGTTGCACTTTGGGTTAATATGAATTTTCTAGAGAATTGTAGTATACTATAAACAAATACTAAATTCGCATTCTACTCTTCGAGCCCTTTCAAATGATACGTCACATGCAAATTTGCCTTGAGGCAAGTTGCACGTTGAAGTAGTATCAGACGTTTTTTTAAAAACGAATAGAAGGATATAGTTCAAAAATAGTACTTACTTATGTTTGGTGAAGTTAGTCTTCATCTGATCCTTAATTTTGACGACTTGATCAAAAGTTGCACAATCTGCTGTTTTCATCACTCCTATCATCAAGGGATGCATTATATCAGGGCTGATTTTTTGGTCATCACGAATGGTTTGTTTAAATCTTAAAAAAAGTAAAACACCTAGTAAATAAATCTTATGTATAAATTTTAATCATGTTATTACCTGTTTTTTGCTTTCTCGATAGTTTCCTCGTCTTCAAATTCAACAAGACAAGTCAAAATCAAATCTCTCATTTTAGTTATGGAAAAAGGTTCACAACTTCTGTCGTCCCAACTGACGTTTTTCTTGATTTCACAAAACATATTCAAGACGAATTGTTTGAACTCATTTTTTAATTCTGTGTTGGACACCAAACTGTGCATTTTTCTTAAAATATTTCCAATGGATTCCCAGACGAATGGTGAATCTTCGTTTTTGTAGTGGCACAGGAATTGGAAAAACTGGAAAAAGAATAAATGATTAATTACCAAACTTTAAATTTTATGGTGAGTTTATTACCGTCTCCATCGTCTTTCTGCCAGAAGTCGCCATCGCATATATATCCTCCAACAAAACCAATCCTGTCCAAAACTGGCATGGACAAACTTTCTATTGATGGCCCAAATTTATCCATCATTTCTGGCGGGTACAGAACCCTATAATAATCCATGGTTCCTACATTTAATTTTACCCAATCGCATGGTGCCAAATCTTCAACAGTCACAGATGTCGACTGACATTCCATCAATGTCCTGACAGTATACTAGAAAAATGATACAACTTATCATTGCCCATTGGTACTTATTGGTTATCATTTACCACTTACTCCAGTCGGACATTTAGAAGTCATGACAGTTATGGGTATTGTCCATTGCATCGGAGGTACCTCCTGGCCAGTACTTTTGGTGAACACTTCTTGTTTTATATTAATGGTTCTTGTGGTTCCGCAATGCGTTTCTGATACTGTCAGCAAAGGGTAACCCGGTTGGTTTACCCAGGCGTTCATCATGCAACCTGAAAGAAAATTGATATAAGCAAGAAGCATTGGCAAATTGGATGCTTTCATATTAACTTCCCGTAGGGTTGTTATAGTAATGGGCGAAAATCGAAAATTAAAATTTTTGCATTTCTCGACGTTTTGGAAGTTTCTGAACATTTTGGCATACCTCAGATAAAATGGATGTGTGTGTGTGTGTGTTTTGTATGTCCGTATTTTTTCGTCCATGTTTTCGGGCGCACGAATCAACCGATTTGAATGAATTAAAAAACATTCGATTCCTATTGATAGGAAGATGTGCTGATTAGTTTTTGGCAAAGGCAGATCCAGCCGTTACGGAGATACGGAGCAAAGAGTGCAGAAAATACAAATCGAGTTTTTGAGAGAGAACGGAGTATCGGATTTGAATGATCTAAAAAACATTCGATTTGTAATAGTTGGGAGAAGAGGTGATTAGTTTTTGGCAAAGACAGGTCTCGCCATTTCGAAGATACAGAGCTAAATGTGCAAAAATGAGAGTTTTTGAGTGAACTACGCGTCCGATTTGGATAATCTGAAAAACTTTCTGCTTGTATTGACAAAACAATTGCTTTTGAGGATAAAAAATTAATACATTTTATTTATTTTCCATGCAAAAAAAAAAAAAATATTTTAATATAATAATCATAGAGGGTAATGTGCTTTACCCTTAGTGGTTCTCGTACTAATCAGAGGGTATACTGTTCTTAAATTTCTCACTCTTTTTAAAAAACTGATCAAACGTACTTTAAAAATTTGGTTGTTTTTTGTATATTTTTGTGAAAACAGTTTTGTGATTTTGTTGAAAATATTTTTTATACGAGTATATTTAGTCCTCAGTTCATTTATTCAAATTATTCAGATTTTTCTTTTGTATACTGTGCATTTATATAAATCTTTATTTGGAATCAAACCCAGAAATGAATTTACGTGCTATATTTGGTGGCGCAGTCTATGTAAAGCGCAAACAATTAAAATTGAAGTAAATGCATAGATAAATAAGCATAAGTAATGAAGAAGTAAATGCGACTTTATTTTTATCTATATCAATATTTAGTTTACTCGTCAGTAGGGTTCTTTTTAGTGACTAGAACTTAAATCTTAAAAATATTAAATACATTTGCTCTAATCCGTGTAAAGCCAATAATTAGTTTGCTCACCAGTACAGTTCTTTTTCATGACTAAAATAATTGCTTTCGAAAAAAAAAATTGTTACAATTTTTTTTTGTAATTTTGGATTAAAAATTCAAAAAATTACCCAGGCTAAGCACAGTCTAAGCGCCGCTCTCGTACAAATGTTTACGCGAGTGCGTTTAGACTGTTTATGTAATGGAGCAATTTTCCAATTTTGCGAAAACTATTAAAAAATGTGAAAATGCCGTCAAGCTAAGCACAGTACAAGTGAAAATGTCGCACAGAATTATTTGCAAGTGCGTTTAGACTGTGACTAGACGGGAGCACTTTTTCAATTTTGTGCAAATTTGGCAACTATTTTTTTTTTTTGAAATTGAATTCGAAATGAAATGACGATTGTTAATGTTCTGGAGATAAATTGATTTATGATTTATATTTGATTTGCTCAGATATAACAAGATAATGCAAAAATAATGAAAGTTACAGTATTTGTAATAATATATTTGAAAACGTTTAAAATTTCTCGAAAATTTTGTTACGGTACGGGAAGTTCCTGCAATTTGCCTTGAGGCACGATGCTATATACCACTAGTTACCTATTGGTTTTCCACTGGCTTCTTCCATAGCTTTCCACAAATCTGCTGTTCCAGCACTTTGAAATTTATATTTTTGTATATAATTTTTGATTCCCTTCGTATAGTCTTCTTCCTCCATAAAATTCCTTAGCATCCTAATTATGGTTGCTCCTTTGGAGTAGCTGGAGGCGTTGAACATTGCTTGGGCATCAGAAGTTGAACCAACCTTGGGTAAAGGTTATATAACATTTTTTATTCTTTCTTTTTTATGTCAATTATTTTTTTCATACTTTTCGAACAATCGGTGCAGCCCCAGGCATCTCGTCTGCAGCCATTGCTGCATAAAAGTGCAGCAGAAATCCATTCCAAGGATCAATTTCAGGAAGTATTCGATATTTTCCGAGAACGGAGTAGAATGAAGCAAAGCCTTCGTTAAGCCACAAATCACTCCACCTATAAAAAAATTGTAGAAAAATTATGTCATAATAAAATATTATAGGCCTGGGATAAGGGGTTGAATTATTTAAAAAATTATCAAAGTTTAGATATTTTTAGAAAAATATGTCAGTATTCGGAATCTACTGAAAAAGACCTTTCAAATGATACCCCACACGACATATTTGAGGTAAAACGTTTTGACCTCTCATTTGATCCATCAGACCGTTTGTAAATTTATTAAATGTTTTGTAACTTTTAAACGCTAAATCTGATTTTGACAAAATATTCGGCAAGTTTGTACAAAATTTAAAAATGTATAAAATTGTCTAACATCATAATGCCATGCAGCAACTAGGTACTTCAAAATCATAATTAAAATAAAAAATCAAATCAAAATCGATTTCATATTTGAATTCAGTCCGTCGAGACCTTTCAAATGATACCCCACACGACGTATTTGAGGTAAAACGTTTTGACCCCTCATTTGGCCCATCAGACCGTTTGTAACTTTATAAAATGTCTTGTAACTTTTGAACGGCAAATCTGATTTTGATAAAATATTCGGCAAATTTGTACAAAATTAAATAATGTTTAATATTGTCTAACATCATGATGCCCTACAGCAACCAGGTACTTTAAAGTCATAACTAAAATGCAAAATCAATCAAAGTCGATTTCATATTTGAATTCAGTCCGTCGAGACTTTTCAAATGATACCCCACACGACATATTTAACGTAAAACGTTTTGACCCCTCATTTGATCCATCAGACCGTTTGTAAATTTATTAAATATCTTGTAACTTTTGAACGGTAAATCTGATTTTGATAAAATATTCGGCAAATTTGTACAAAATTAAATAATGTATAATACTGTCTAACATCATAATGCCATACAACTACTCATATACTTTATAATCCTAATTATAATGAAAATTTCAAAGTCAATTTTATATGTTTTAGACATTTTAAATGATACCCCACACGACATACCTAACGACACAACGTTTTGACCCCTTATGTGATCCATCATAATGACTTGATATGCAGAGAAAACAAACAAATAGCAAATTGGATACCCACAAAAAATTTGAAGTAAAACTTTTTCAGATTCCTCTGCTACTACTTTGTGAAAATTGTATATTTTGTGGACACGAATCATTAAAATCGTTAATGTCAAATATTAGGAAAAAAAGCAATAAATTTTAACATCATAATATTTTTGCATTATGTATATAACATTTTTATCTCAATAAAATAATTTTTTTGTGAAAATCGTATTCTACTCGTCGAGACCTTTCAAACGATACCCAACACGCTATAAAAATAAAAACAAAAAAATTTTGAAGTAAAACTTCTTTAAGCTCGTTTACTGCAAATTCTTTGAAGGTGCATATTAAATATCTGTATTTTAATTCTTATTGATTGAGTTGGTTATTTACACGTATCGAGGGAAGTTTATGCAACTTGCCTTGAGGCAAAATGCCACTTACAACTAGTTTTGTGTTTTATTTACCAATTCATGGTGACAAGATCTCCAAACCACAAATGTGCCAATTCGTGAATAACCGTTCCTGATATTGACGATTTCCAAACTGTTGGAGTTTCGTTTTTGTTGAAGATCATAGACATGTCTCTGCAATGATAAATATATTTAGTGAATGCTATCGCATTCACTTTTAGTGCGATATAGAATGGCGTGAATGCTATAGCATCCAAATTTTGAGGTCAATTTACATTACGTTTTTGTAATTGTCAAACAAGTTAAGGAGGTGCCTAACTAATGCTTGAAGTATTTTCGTATTAGTCATTAATTTGCTGCATACAATACAATTTGGGCAAGAAATTGCGGAAAATACAAGGGCAATACTTGACGTGGATGCTGTAGCATTCATCTAGTATATAATTATTAACGTGTGACATTCTGACTAATGGCACTTTTATTGGGCACGAACGTGCAAGGTTACTTCTCAGTTGACAATGCATCATTTTCCATAGTCACTAATTTGACGCGGATGCTATAGCATTCATCTAAGTATATAACGTTTGAAATATGAAAATAGAAATTTTGAATTATCTTATCTTTTCCCGTAATCACTAATTATCTTGGAGCATCCAAAATGCGGGAAATAGAAGCACAATACTTGACGTAGATGCTATAGCATTCATCTAGTACATAACGATTGAAATTTTATAATCTGACCTTTATTAAATCAAATTTTGGATCTCACAAACAATTTAAAATTGATTGATTGTCTATATTTGTACCTTGCTGAAACTTTTACCAAATTTTTTTTATGAATTATAATTTATTATTATTTTTTACCCAAATGAAATGTGTCCCCAATTCTCCATGGCACCACTCGCAAAATTTTTGGTAACCACCAAATCCAATTTTGGCAACGAGTAAGGTTCGTCGAAAAGTTTCGAAAAAATATCTAAACCTTTTACTGCCACTTCAAGGCCGAATTGACCATATTTTTTCATCCCTGGGGCGTATAGACCCTTACCTGAAAAAAAAATTGAGGAAATTTAAATGTTTTCAAATAAATTATTATAAATACTGTAATATTTGTTATTCGTATTTTATAGACGAAATATAAGAGCTTATGAATTGCACGACCAGGTTTAAATGTGTTTACAAAAATAAACAAAACTTAATCAAGCGGAGTTGCAATGCAGGACCTTATCTCATATTTTTAAGAATTATATAAATTTATTTGCAAAGTTAAAATTATTTATTTCAAGAATATAAGTGAGCTTTAGAATTTTAGCTAGAGCTAAAATTAAATTCCAAAAACTATTTTTGTATAATTTTCTTAAACTATAATTACCTTAGTACCACCTTCTGTTTGACTTTCAATATATTCAAACTCTCCGACCGAAAACGCCAGTAAATAAGTTGACATTTTAGGGGTTGTGTTGAAACAAACAGTTTTGCAACCACATTTTACCTAAAAGTATAATTTTTTTGTATTAAAACTAGTTGTAAAGTGGCATTTTGCCTTAAGGCAACTTGCATGAATGTCCCGATCAAAAAGAATTACGATTCAGATATTTAATATACGTTTTTAACTCATTTCTAGTAAACGAGCTTAAAGAAGTTTTACTTCAAAAATTTTTAATTGTTATTTTTATGGCATGTGGGGTATCGTTTGAAAGGTCTCGACGAGTAGAATGCGAGATTTTTATGAAAAAATGATTATGTTGTAATAAAAAAGTTATATACATATTGCAAAAAATATTAGAATGTTAATTTTATTGTTTTTTTTTTTAATAATTGAGGTATAAAACTGTTTTATGTTATTTGTGTCCACAAAATGTACACTTTTCACGATTTGTAGCATAGGAGTCTAAAGAAGTTTTACTTCAAAAATTTTTGTTGGTCACTTTCATGGCATGTGGGGTATCGTTTGAAAGGTCTCAATGAGTAGAATGCGATTTTTACAAAAAAATGATTATATTGTAATAAAAACGTTATATACATAATGCAAAAATTTTAGAATATTAAAATTTATTGATTTTTTCTTAATCATTAAGGTTTAAAATTTGTTTATGCAATTATAAATGCAAATTTGTTTATACAAATATACTCTTTTTACAAATTTGTAGTAGACGAGCTTAAAGAAGTTTTACTTCAAATTTTCTTGATGGTCACTTTTATGGCATGTGGAATATCATTTGAAAGGTCTCGACTAGTAGAAAACGATTTTTGATAAATTAGGTAATTATACTAAATCATTCTTTATAGTGTGCACGCGAAAATCTCTGTTTGGAAGTAATTTATCTTTTATCAAGTTAGGTGTAAGTGGCATTTGGCCTTAAGGCAAGTCACCTCTTCTTCTCGGACATCCATATTAGACAAAGCCATCAAATTTTCAGGAACTTTCATAACAATGTCAAAAGTTGCCTTCAGAGCCGGTTCATCAAAACAAGGAAAAGCTTCACGAGCCCTGTTAGGCTCAAAATGACTTATGACGTATGTTTTCGTCCTAAGGGAAAAAATATTTAATAAAATAAAAAAACTGAATTTATGGTGCAGTAAATTAAACTATGTTACATGGCGTTTTCTCATATAAATGGTACTAAAAACTTGCAAAAGTTTCTGTGGTTGTATAAAATTTAAGTTTACTCATATGTTAATGACACATCACAAAGATGCACTTATAATAAGATTTTTTTTTTGACATTAGTATATTTTTTTGTTTGATTTTCTATCCAAAACGCCTGACTGTACAATAACCACATCGCGTTCGGACAGTTTTTAGTGCTATTTTATATGAAAAACGCAGCGTAACTTTGGTCTATTTTACGACAGACTTGGCTCCTCAATATTTTTCATTTATTACCCTTTGCAAGTATCAAACGTTGATTTGCAAATTGCTGAAATTTCGTGAAAGTCTCTGCCAAATTCTAGTATCAAACATGCATTTCCTTTGGGGATGCATTTTTTGAATTGTATAGTTGCCCTTTCGTCTTTTTCTTGATAGGATATATTGTCCGAACACTCCTTTCCTTAAAAATGATAATTTTTGATAAATTTTTGGTAATGAATTAGGCTTTTGATTATTTACCATTGCAGTGACTTATTGTTGCTTTTTTGATGTTTATTCCTAGACAACTTAGGATCACACAGTTTGTTTGCTGTTTTATCTGTAAAATTAAAAAAAATAAAAAATAAAAATGGATAACAGTTTTTTTTTGCGTATGAAATTCAAGTCATTGCACTTCTTTATAACATTTTTGTTATAAATAATTAAAAAAATCCTTCACAGATACGTCTTTTGAATAAATTTTCTTCAAAATGTGGCTGAAAAATCTATATTGTGTTTTAAAGTGATTTTTTTAAAACTGTTTTGTGTTATTGATTAAATTTTGGCAAGTTTCTCCAATATAAGTTGAACTGCAATTTAAACAATTAATTTGGTAAAGCAGATTTTTTAAACTTTTTATTTATAGATGTTTTTGTAAAAGATCTTCATATATAAATAAACTTGTGATAAATAAATAGTGGATTTGTAATTTTTATGGTTATCAGATATCGAATTACCTATTAATGTGCATCATTGATTTATTATACCAAAAATAAAGTAGTTTTTGAGCTTATTTTTGGTACAACATTTAAGAATGATTATCAAATATATAAATATTATTACCTTTAAGTTAATTGTAACTTTTCCTGTATAACCAGAAACACTTGGATCTAAATCCAATTCCAAAACATAATGTTCAGGTACAACATTTGTCGAAAGTCTTTCTGAATCTTCAGCCATTTTTGAGATGCAATTTTATTTTCAAGGAATCGAGATTAACATTTTCAAAAAATAAGTTTAAGTAAAATTAAAATCATTTGTTGTTGAAGAGATTTATTTGCTGTAGTTCACAAAAATTTTGAAAATTTCATTTCTGTGAATTGTATTTACGTCAAAGTGACAACTTTACGTCAAATTTTTAATGTCATAATAAATTCAGGACAGAAATTGAAAAAATAATTGTCAAACAAATAATTGTTTCTAAGTTGCTCGTCAGTAGAGTCCCTTCCTTATAAAAATAATTCCTACTCATTTTTTTATATAAATGTTTAATTTTTTTTTTTTAATTTAGGTTGCTCGTCAGTAGAGTCCCTTTTTGCATAAATATTTTCTAAGGAGTTCTAGTTTGCTCGTCAGTCGAGTTTATTTTTTATAAAAATATTTCCAAAGAAATTTTAGTTTGCTCGTCAGTAGAGCCCTTTTTCTGCATAAACATGTTCTTAGAAATTACATTATCGTTTGCTTGCCAGAAGAGTTTCATTGAAAATTCTCGACGAAAATTTATATCCGTACTCATGCACACACACATCTATCCATTTTTTCTAATGTTTGCCAAAATGTTCAAAAACGTAAATATATGCATAGTTATTTACTATATATTAAACTTATTATAATGAAAAAACTTGTTAATATTGAACGTTTATAAACATATGTAAAATATTTTTTGTAAAACCAATTCACTTCTTTACAGCCTCATGAATTCATAGAATGATAATAATATTGTTCATTTGCTTAATGGTTTATTTTTATTTTTTCTTAAAATATTTTGCGAGTCCTTCGTAGTGTTTCTTGACAGCCTTGGACCTTGCTCGAATTGCTTCGACTGCTGCAGCAATTGCAGCAGCTGCTTCAGGCATTGGATTTTCTTTAAAATGTTCTTCGATTTCATTTGCTTTTGAACCACAGGCGTATTTACTAATTAATGTTGATACTATTACTCCTGCAGAAAAAAAACATAAACCTGAACATTTGTAGTGTTAAGAATTTTTTGGAATTTTTTTGTTATTTATTTTATTTGGAGTAGCTTGAGTAAATTTATGTTTTTTATTGGGCAATAGTAAAACCTAATGCATTTATGAAATAATCCCCTATGTTCATAAATAATTCCTCAATCATTAAAGAAGTATACGATACGTTTACGAATTATTTAACGATACTATTTTAAAGTAGAGGGCAAAAGATGTGCGACCAGACATCCCCCTAAGTATTGTAACAGAGGTATTTTTATTTGTTGCTATTTTTTGTTTGTTATGAGCACTACTATTAAGTTTACGATAAGTTTACGTATTTTTCAACGATACTATTTTAAAGTAGAGGGAAAAAGATGTGTGACCAAATATTGCCTTGGAAATTGTCAAGCATATTTTATCAAAAGTTAGTTAGTTTTTTTTATTTTGAGCACTATTATTTAGTTTACGATACATGAATATAATTACAAACAAAGTATCATATTTTTCAACGATACTATTTTAAAGTAGAGTGTAAAATATGTGCAACCCGATATTCCTCTAAATATTGTAACAAAAGTATTTTTATTTGCCGTTATTTTTTGTTTTGAGCACTATTATTTAGTTTACGATACATGAATATAATTACAAACAAAGTATCATATTTTTCAACGATCCTATTTTAAAGTATAGTGTAAAAGATGTGCAACCCGATATCCCTCTAAATATTGTAACAAAAGTATTTTTATTTGCCGTTATTTTTTGTTTTGAGCACTATTATTTAGTTTACGATACATAAATATAATTACAAAGTATCATATTGTTCAACGTTACTATCTTAAAGTAGAGTGTAAAAGATGTGCGACCCGATATCCCTCTAAATATTGTAACAAAAGTATTTCTATTTGCCGTTACTTTTTGTTTTGAGTACTATTATTTAGTTTACGATACATGAATATAATTACAAACAAAGTAAGATATTTTTCAACGATACTATTTCAAAATACAGGGCAAAGGATTTGTTACCAAATGTTTATTCGTTGCTATTTTTGTTTTGTTTTGAGCACTATTATTAAATTCACAATACGTTTATGTATTTTTAACGGTACTATTTTAAAGTAGATGGCAAAAAATGTGCGACTTCGCTAGCACAAAATAACCAAATGCATTGTTTATGTTTCAACAGTACTATTTTAAAGTAGAGGGCAAAAGATGTGTTATCTCAAAAATAAGTTGAGTATCTGAATTTTTATCTGTACTATTTTAAAGTAGAGGACAAAATATGTGCGACTTTGTCATCACAAAATATACAATTGCATTGTTCATGTTTCAACATACTATTTTAAAGTAGAGGGCATGATATGTGTAATCTCAAATACGAGTTTTCGAGTACCTGGAATTTTTAGGGGTACTATTTTAAAGTAGAAGGCAATTCCTTCATTATTTTCAATTTTTTTAATACCTTATATGGTAATACATCCATTCCATAAATAATCCCTTAATTACTAAAACTTTCTTCCAAGAAATTTACTTTCCCTAAACTCCTTGTTTTTTAGTTATATCCCAGGTTAATATATAATTGGTTACTATATATACTGGGAGGTTGCTTTGGACCCAAAAGTATTTTTCTATATTATAATTTATCTAGAATTAAACCTATGGGCAAATTTACGTGCTACAATTAGTGTCTCCCTCTTTGGACCGCAAAAACAAACTAGTGGGGCGCATGGCATCGTGCCTTAAGGCAAATTGCTGGAACTTCCCGTACCAAAAATTATTTTTTTTATAAAAAGACTAACATTTTTGAAAAAAAATTACTCTGAAAAAATATATTTTTGAGAAACTATAAATTTTAGACAAAAACTTACTTTTTGTTGAAAAATTTATTTTGAAATATTTTGGAAATTCTGAACTTTTTTTCAAAGCAATCGTACTGCTTTAAATGCATAGAGACTAAATATCGAAGCGCGTAAGCGCCGCGTCGTCGTCTAACGGATAAACACTGGTACGAAACCCACAGGAATGTTAACACATCTTATACTTATTGTTAAAATAAAATCTCTATAAAATATCTGATAATTTGATATACATATGTCTAATGATTATTGTTGACCGCCAAATGGTATTTTTTTTAGTTTTTTTTACCAGATCTCCGAAACCGCTAGACCTATCTTCATGAAAATTTGATAAGTGTTCATCTTGTTCACACAAGTGAAATGTTTTTTGAATTATTCAAATCGGACGCTCCGTTCTCTTAAAAACTGAGTTACCGTTTTTGGCACTTTTTGCCCCATATCTTCGGAACGGATAGACCTGCCTTTGACAAAAACTAAACAGCACGTCTCCTTATCAATACGAATCGAATGTTTTTTGAATTATTCAAATTGCTTCATCCGTGTTCCCGAAATCGTCGATGAAAATTTGTATCCGAACACACATACATTCACGCACAAACACACACATACACACACACATACATCAATTTTCTCTAAGGTATGCCAACATATTCAGAAACCTTTGAAATGTAAAGATATATAAAAATTTTCATTTTGGATTTTTTTGCGATTACTATAACTTACCCTATGGAAAGTTAATTATAAATAAATCAATTTATCATCTCCAGAACATTAACAATCGTCATTTCATTTCAAATTCAATTTCAAAAAAAAAAAAATAGTTGCCAAATTACACAAAACTGAAAAAGTACTCCCGCATAGTCACAGTCTAAACGCATTTTCAAATAATTATGTGCGACATTTTCACTTATACTGTACTTAGCTTGGCGGCATTTTCACATTTTTCAATAGTTTCTCACAAAATTGGAAAATTGCTCCATTACATAAACAGTCTAAACGCACTTGCGTAAACATTTGTACCAGAGTGGCGCTTAGACTGTGCTTAGCCTGGGTGATTTTTTGAATTTTCAATCCAAAATTACAAAAATATTTTATGGAAAATAACAAAAGATGTTATAATTTTTTATCCTCAAAAGCATTTGTTTTGTCAATACAAGTAGAACGTTTTTTAGATCATTCAAATCGGACGCTTAGTTCACTCAAAAATTGCCATTTTTTACACATTTAGCTCTGTATCTTCGAAATAGCGAGACCTGTCTTTGCCAAAAACTAATCACTTCTTCTCCCAATCATTACAAATTGAATGTTTTTTAGATCATTCATAACCGATACTCCGTTTTCTCGATTTGTATTTTCTGCACTCTTTGCCCCGTATCTCCGTAACGGCTGGACCTGCCATTGCCAAAAACTAATCAGCATATCTCCTTATCAATACGAATCGAATGTTTCTTGAATTGCACACATACACACATATACACACACATACACACACAATCCATTTTTCTAAGGTATGACAAAATGTTCAGAAGGTTTTGAAACGTAAAGATATATAAAAATTTTCATTTTCGATTTTTTTGCAATTACTAGAACTTGCCCTGCGGGATGTTAAAAAATGCGGACACACAAAACACAAACACACACACACACATCCATTTTTTCTGAGGTATGCCAAAATGTTCAGAAACCTTCAAAACATCAAGAAATGCAAAATTTTTATTTTCAATTTTCGGCCCATTATAGTAACTACCCTATGGGAAGTTAATAAATCAAATATATCTTGTACATAAATTTATGATTAGTGTCTCCCTCTATGGACCGCAAAAACAAATAAAATTACAGCAATTTTTTTATCTTTCATGATTTTCTTACCCAATCGGTTTTGGCCCTTATAAGTTTCTGCAATCTTGTCTTGGTTATCCTTTAAAAATTTCCAGGACTGACTACGTCCACTTGGTGTTTTTGTAATGTTATTAAGGATAATTGGAACTACAAAAGCCTCAACTTTACCACTGATGACGTAATCCAGGACTTTTTGAATCACATCTTCATTTTGGGCATATCCGAGGGATACTTGGATTCTAGAAATATATATATATGAATTGATAATTGCCAAAATTTGGTTTGGTTTGGTTTTTATTCTACCTTAGTTGTGTCAAAAACGATTTGGCTTGATCTTGCAATTTGAGAACTTTTTGAAATGTGCCAACATCAGCTTCTTTCATGACTGTCATCAGGGATATAAGAAATATATCAGGGGCCAGTTGGCGTTTTCCACTTATGTGGTCACAGAATCTGAAATAATAATAATTATATATATATATATATATCAAATATATATATATATATATATATATATATATCATATAAAGATCAAATGATTCGGTAAAACTCGAAAACGATTAAACCGATTTGGCCAGTCTTAGTCTTGAAAAATTCGTGCCAATCCAGAGTTGGTCGGAAAGGTGAGATATTATTTCAAAATCGCATAGAAACTTTACATTTTTAATTTGAAAATTTTTATAGAAGCGTAATTTAAATAAAACAATGGAAGGCGGCTAATACGTCAAATGTCAAACGTTTTTGACAGATGATGTTCAATTACGTTTAATATGATGTGAATATTATTTAATTATGATTAAATTGTAGTAAGTAGTTTTGTTTATATTTATATACAAAAACGTTAGTAAACGGGCCGCAAAGTGTTGATAGAAACTCAAAGTATTAACTTTTTTGAAATGTTAATATGAAAATGCACTTTTTGGCATATTTTTCTCAAACACGGTGCTCTGAAGGATCTCATTTGTATAATTATATACTCATTGGTATTTATAAAACATTTGCTAGATTATATTATTTTTTATTTATGTTATTTAAATTCAGAACCTAAATATGGTTTCGATCAAGGGGACATTTTGTCGAATAACATTTTCCCAGTTATAATTTCCCAGAATTTATCGAAAAATAGATAGTAATATATGAAGGTTCGGAGTTAAAAAGGTTCACCACCGATGTGTCAAAAATCAGTAAAGTTAAGCATTGTTTAACAACAATATTTTAAAGTAGAGGAAAAAATAGGTATAACCACCTATAACCTAGATTTGAAAACGGTAATCTTTGAAATGAGGGAGATAAATGGTAATCTTTGAAAATCCATAATAAAAGTAATTTCTTCCATTGGTTTTTTGGCATTGGTTAAAAATGTAATTATTTTTTAAAATACGTTTAAAATTATAATAAACCACCTGCCCGTTTCAAGAGACCCCGCCTATAGGGTAAAAAGGTCTAGTTAAAACATTTTTGAAAAACATAAAAAAGCACATTTCTACAATGATGAAGTGACTGGCAGTTTTCCTGAACGTAGTCAGATAATTGTTCGTTTGAAATGTGTTATTTGTTGTGATATAATTGGTTTGGTTCTTAAAATATATTTAATATTTGCTCAAAGTCAAATTGGACCTTTGTGCCTCGCCCTACTCTACATATATACTTTTTATTAAATTTACTTTAATTCATAGAATGTTACTCGAAACTTTTCAAAAAGCAAGTCAAAGAAGAAATACTTAATTCATTTTCTAAATCCCCTCGCAGAAATTTGAAAATTTTGTATAAGCTCAGTAGTATGATTTACAATTATACACAAAATGCAGAATCAAAAAGAATCTGAAAAACTTGAAACGTAATCAATAAGTCGAAAGACCAAAAAAGACTTGGATTAGATCATACTATGTTTTCTATAGAAAGTGTTTAAATCTTCCAGTTTGATTGTAATGACAAAATATAGACAAACTAATGGGGGCTTTATTGTTTTTATAATACCTCATTGTATATGACATTCAAACAACACATCCTTCTACACTTAAAGTGTTAATATTTTTGATTCTCTAGAAATTGTTTAGAATATACCTTACTTAGCAAAACAACGTTTGCCGGGTCAGCTAGTATATATACTACCCTTACCTCCGTTTTCCTTCCTGAATAGTTTCCTCGTCCTCAAATTCGACCAAAAGTTGCAAAATCGCATTTTTCAGACAAGCACTCGCCTGGTCGCAAGTCGGCGAATCGAAACAAACTTTTTTCCTGATTTTGCAACATAAATTCAGCACGAAATCCCTAAATTCGCACTTTAGATCCGTATATGAAATTATGCTGCCTACTTTGCCCAAAATAGTTGAAATCGACTTCCAAACATTGTTGTTGTCTTCGTTTTGGAAGACGCATAAAAATTTCAAAAACTAGAAAAAAATAGGTGGAAGTGGTATTTAGTAGGTTTTATACAAAAACCGACATTTCAGAAAACCGGTTTTCGAATTTTAATTTTACTAAAAAAACGGTTTTCGAATTTTATATAAAAAATAAATTTTTGCTTGAATATTCTGTAATTTATCCGCAAATTTAGTGTAATTCCGAGCAGTATTTGTCAGAATTTATTTATTGTTCAATTTTATACATAGTAAACAAATTTATTTTAATTTTAATTAGTAGAACTAAAAAATAATTGTTTATCTTGATTAAATAACTTTGAAAATAATTATTCGTTTTTCATGCATCATTTTCACACATAAGAATGAAAACATTTTTATAATAGTGAAAGGAAAGTTTCCGAATAAATAAAATAATACATTTTTAAATAAAAAATGCATTAAATTAAAAAAATGTATATGTTGATACATACTTGTTAATATCAAGTTTAGTTTTAAAAACAATTAAGCTAAACTCGGTTATTGTCTATTCCGAGCAATTTTAATTAATTAATTTAAAACATTCTTATTGTTTTTTTGTTTAATAAAATATGATTTCAAAAAAAACTGAGAACGTCTATCGAATTGCTACTTAGACGTGTCCTTTGATTGCTCACAAAATTTTCTGAAATAGAAAATACTCTCATACTAGCGACTAAATTATGCTTAATTGTTTTTAAAGCCTGATATAATAATTCTAAATTTTTGTTCTTTAATTTGTGGCTTCTAGGGTTTAAACTTTTTTTTTAAGTTTGAGTAGTGGGAGTTACTTCTTCAAGAAGAAGTCACACTGATTTAAATCAATATATACACTGGTATAAAAATTGTAATTAATATATACAAAACCTTTCTGGGAACCATTGCAGACTGATAAGATATCAAATGCTATTGAACCGATATGATTTAAGAATCGAAACGCTTTCATCTATCTTTTATATTTGGCTATATTTGTCAATATGTGAAAACCGACTTTTTTCACTGAAAAACCGCTTTTCGAATTCCATGATTTTCGCCAAAAAAGCCGGTTTTTAAAACAGGTTTTTGAAAACCGACAAACCCTAGTATTTAGCATTTAACTCGATGGTTTACCAAAATTACCTCATCCATGGTTCTTCTGCCGGTTTCGGCCATGGCATGCAAATCGCCCAACAAACCAATTCTATCTAAAACTGGCATTGATAGATCTTCGATGGGTTGATTGAATTTTCTCAGCATTTCGGGAGGATATAAAACCCTATAATACTCCATCGATCCTGCATTTAATTTTACCCAATCGCATGGTGTCATATCATCAATAGTTACAGACGTTGTTGGACAATTCATCAATGTTGAAGTAGTTGACTAGAAAAAAAAATATACTGGGGTCTTAAAAGTTTACCATTAAAATATCATCAAAAACAAGTAAAGTATGATATTGTTCAACGATACTATTTTAAAGTAGAGGGCAAAACATGTGTGATCTAGAATGCAAACTAGTTGAGTGTATGGCATCGTGCCTTGAGGCAAATTGCCGATACTTCCCGTAACGTAACGAAATGTTCGAAGAATACTGAACTTTTTCAAATTGATTATTATTAATATTGTAACATTATCTAATATTTAAAAGAATTATATAAACTGAATTGCTAAGTTGAAATTAATTATTTTGTTAAGACAAGCATAAAGTTCTTTGAATCATTCAAATCGGGCGTTAAATTCTCTCAAAAACTGCAATTTTTTACATATTTTGCTCCGTATCTTTGAAATGGTTGAGCCTGCCTTTGCCAAAAACTAATAAACACTTCTCTTAATCATTACTAATTGAATGTTTTTTAGATCATTCAAATCGGATACTCCGTTCTCTCAAAAAATCGATTTCTAATTCCTGCACTCTTTGCTCCGTATCTCCGAAACGGCTGGACCCGCCTTTGCCAAAAACTAATCAGCTCTTCTCCCTATCAATAGGAATCGAATATTTTTTGAAACATTCAAATCGGTTGATCCGTGCGCCCGAAAACGTGACTGGAAATTTGTATCCATACAGAGATACACACACACACACACGCACACACATCCATTTTTTCTGAGGTACGCCAAAATGTTCAGAAACCTTCAAAACGTCGAGAAATGTAAAAATTTTCAATTTTGATTTTCGACCCATTACAATAACTTACCCTACTGGAAGTTAAAAATGTGCTGTCTGAGAAATAAATAAAGTTTAGAATTTTCTACCTATTACTATTTTAAAGTACAGGACAAAATATGTGTGACCAGATATGATAAGTATTTTTATTTTTTATTTTGTTTCGTTCCGAGCACTATTATTTAGTGTATGATATCTGAATATATTAAATATGGTATTTTTTACCGAAACTATTTTAAAGTACATATGTTACTACAAAGAATGAAATTGGACGACATCGCTGTCAGGAGATTAACAGCTACATTGTGATTTTTATAACAATGTTATTTTAAAGTAGAGGGCAAACTTGTGTAATTTGATAAGTAAAGTTTGGAATTTTTAACCTACTACTATTTTAAAGTAAGGACTAAAGATGTGTAATCTCTGCAAAATGTAAAAATTAGATTATTTTAATGATATTATTTTAAAGTAGAGGGCAAAAATATGTAATTTTTTAACAGTAGTATTTTAAAGTAGAGGACTAAAGATAAGTAAAAAATAAAAAAAAAGTATAAAATATTTACCCAGTACTATTTTAAAGTAGAGGGCAAAACATTGCTATCACGATAAGCCAATTGGCAAGTTTTAAATATACTATTTTGAAGTCGACAGCAAAAGATGTGTTCTCAATGTTGGAAATTTTTACATGTACTCTTTTAAAGTAGAGGGCAAAAATGTGTTATCTGAGAAATAAGTAAAGTTTGCAATTTTTTATCTGCTACTATTTTGAAGTAAGGACTAAAGAGGTGTATTTTTTTAAAAAAAAGTAAATATTAGATTTTTTTAATGATGCTATTTTAAAGTAGAGGGTAAAACACGTGCGACTTCGCTATTACCATAAGTCAATTGTAAATTTATTGTTTATTTGTTATTGAAATCGAGAGCAAAAGATGTGTTCTTAATGTTAGGAAAATTCATGTACTATTTTAAAGTAGAGGGCAAGAATGTTTGACTTTGCTATCATGAAATAAACGTCCCCATTGTCCATATTTTAACGTGGAGGGTAAAAAATTTGCTATCTGAGAAATCAGTTTGACATTTTTACCTATTGCTATTTTAAAGTAGAGGGCAAAAAAAAATATGGCTTTGCTATCACAAAATAAACGGCAACATTGTAAATTTTTTAACGTGGAAGACAATAAATTTGTTATCTAAGAAATAAGTTTGACATTTTTTACCTACTACTATTTTAAAGTAGAGAGCAAAAAATGTGTAATCTCAAAAACGAGGAAATTTTGAAAATTTTTTCCGGTACTATTTTAAAATAGAGATCAAAATATGTGTTATTATGCTAAGACAAGATAAACAGTCATATTTTCAATTTTTACCAGTACTATTTTAAAGCAAAAGGCAAAACGTGTGTCATCTCAAAAATAAGTAAAATTTCAAACTTTTTACCGGAACTATTTTAAAGTACAGGACAAAAATGTGTAATCTCAAAAACAAGTAAAGCCTAGAATTTTCTACTGGTTCTATTTTAAAGTAGAAGGCAAAAGATATGATATTTTGCTATTATTTCGCTAGTAACCGCATTGGTAATTTTTTCTAACAGTACTACTTTAAAGTAGAGAGCAAAAAATATGTAACTTAAAAAATAAATCATTTATTTCTTACTCCACATAGGCATTTGGAAGTGAGCACCGATATGGGTATCGTCCATTGGGTTGCTGGAACTTCTTGCTCTATATCCTTGCTAAACACTTCTTGTTTTATTTTGATGATTCGTTTGTTTTCGCATTGAGTTTCGGAAACTATCAATAGAGGGAAACCTGGTTTTTCGACCCAGGCACTCATTATTTGACCTGAAAAAAATGGAATTTTAAAGTTTAACGTGTTATTTTTATAGAATTTTGTTCTGGAGGTTACAAATTGTGGTATGCAGATTTATAGAAAGATTTATCTACTTTCTAAAAATATATCACAATCAATAACCATAAGATGATTTTTTTTACAATAATGCAAATTGTGAAAAAATGTAACCAATAAAATCTATTACTGGCCCTAAATATCGAATGTCACATATTATTTTAGCATAATTTTATACAAAAAGTTTTTAAACGTTATAGACAGATTTATAGATTTTTTATAAATAATTTTGTTCGAAACGTTATAAATTGTTATACACAGAGTTGTAGATAATTATATAAGCTTTTTAACGATATATAATAATACATATATTGTTTAACAAATTTTAGCAATATACACAAAAATTTTAAAAATGTAACCGATGAAATCTACTAATGGCTAACTAAATATTAAATTTCACACGTTATTTTTTAATAATTTTGTTTGAAAGTTCATGAAACGTTATATACCAAGTTTACAAATATTTTATAAATAATTTTGTTAGAAACGCTATAAATTGCTATACACATAGTTGTAGATAATTTTATTAGCTTTTTAATGATATATAATAATGTATATCTTGTTTAACAAATTTTAGCAATATACCCAAAAACTTAGGTTAACTAAGTATTAAATTCCACAATTCGCTTGAATATATATATATATATATTATATATATATATATATATATATATATATATTACCTATAGGTTTTCCACTGGCTTCTTCCAAAGCATTCCATAAATCTGCCGTTTCAGCATTTTTAAATTTATTAGACTTCAAATAACATCTGATTCCTTTTATAAAGTCATCTTCCATAAAATTTCTCAGCATTCGAATTATGGAAGCACCTTTTCCATAAGTCATGTCGTTGAACATGCTTTTAACTTCAGGGGTAGATCCTGCCTAAAAATAATGAAAAAGGGGCTTATTGTAACAGGGGCAACAGGTACCAGCATTTTTTAATAGTAATGATAATAAAATATTTCTTGGTCTCGATGGGGGGGGTGTCCACTACACCTCACCCACAGCATTATTTTGCTATAACTACTATCCTGCAGTAAACAGAAGTGTGCAGGTGCATCATATGGAATTGTACTATCATAAAGTGACTTAGACTGGTTTTAGATTTTATATATTTTATTTCGTTGTAAAGAAATTTATCTTAGTAACTCTTTATCTTGTAGCAATTTCTGTGTTTGATGAATTTTGTAAATAGTTTATGTAAAAAAAACATAGCTAGGGTTAGTTGAAACAAATATTTTGGGGCTAGTTGCAACATGCAAGGATGGTATTGACATTTATTACCTTTTTTATGATTGGCATAGCCGCAGGCATTTCGTCCAAAGACATTACTGTATGTACTATTTGTATGAAACTGGTCCAAGAGTCTAATTCTGGATTTATCTTGTTCATTCCTAGTTGTGCATAAAATGTTGCAAATCCTTCGTTTAGCCACAATTCATCCCACCTGGAAAGTATATTTTTATAAAACTGTATGATAATATTGCATCTTTATTAGATTTACGTTTCCACACTTGATGTGTTGCATCATTCAGTGAAAAAATATATACAAAAATCACAAATTTAAAACACTATAAAAATATGTTTAAAACTTAAATATGTTTTATTGAAATTAATATACTATCTTGTAAAAAATGACACAAATTGTATTTTTTAACGCAAGAGGGCTTTAAAAAAAATAAGAAAAAACTCTGTCTAATCTGGTATTTTTTTAATATAAAAAAGATTGTAAAGTGTTAAAAAGTGGTTAAAGTTGATCATATGTTTTGACAGCATTGTTTTGTATTGATTTGGATTTCTTATTATATATTGATTTTAAGGTGGTCCTTAATATGGATTTTTTCAAATTTCTTTCATCAAACGCTTCCAAATTGATTAAAAAAAATTCTCTGAAAGTTTTAGCTCTTAATATTAACTTTAAGATAGTCCACAATTCAATCAAAGTTTTTTGGTTAAATAAAATAAAAAAAGACTCTGCAAATCGTCTAAGGTCACTATTTTTCACATAGATTTTAAAGTGTTAAAAGTATGGTTAAAATTAAACATATGTTCTGACAGCATGGTTTTGTACTGATTTGGATTTCTAGAGTTTTATATATATTAGGGTGGTCTTTATTATGGATTTGTTTCGAATTTCTTTGCTGCCAAGGGCTCAAATGCTTCCAAATTGACAAAAAAAAATTTTCTGAAAGTTTTAGCTATTAATATTAATTTTTATATAGTGCGCAATTCAATCAAAGTTTCTTGTTTTTTTCCTAAGTAAAAACTTTTTATCAAAATTTTGTTGTAATTTTATTATTACGTATCAAAGTAAGCGAATACAATGTTATTCACAAAATTTTGATTCACTTGTCGCTAAGTTATTTAAATTCTAAAAAAACCAACGGAATTTTACCCATGTTAATTACATACAAAACTTTGGGTGGCGTGCGGACTATCTAAAAATTATTATTAAGAGCTAAAACTTTCAGAGAATTTTCTTTTATCGTTTTGGAAGCATTTGAGCCCTTGGGACCTTAAAAAAATCAAAAATATCCATATTATGGATCACCAAATTTTTTTAATTCTCACCATTTCATGGTGACAAGATTTCCGAACCACATGTGCGCCAATTCATGACATATTATATGAGCCATATCCTTCTTAAAGACGGGAGGAGTTTCATCTTCATCGAGTAATAACGTATATTCTCTGAAAAAAAATAACAAAGAATATTAAATTTTTCTGAATCTTGTTTATTTACAAAAAATTTCTTACTGGAATGTTACGAGACCCCAATTTTCCATGGCGCCCGGGCCGTAATGTCGCACCGGAATCATATCCAGTTTTGGCAGATGGTAGGGCTCGTCGAATAGTTCATTAAAGGCATTTAGACATTTTACACCGGTTTCCAGTGCGAATCTTCCTTGATCTTTCAAACCTTTGTATGTGTAAACACGCACCTCGAAATAAAAATTAACGCTAATTAAATTATGTCACACATATATGACTGACATATTACAAAACATTTTTATCTATCTATCAAATTGCGTATATAACCTTTTTATTAATCTATCAAATGCAATATATAACGAAACTATATATTGCGTATGGACAATACAGAATTTCTTGGTGTCAGACACATATGACTGACATATCAAAAAACTTTTTAAACACAAATTATTGTTTTTGCAATCACTACATGATGTCTGACATACCTCATGTACAATTTCTTACCGTCAGTCACATATGACTGACACGTCAAAAAACGTGTAAACTGATTAAGAATTTTTTAAAAATATTATTACCTTGACGCAATTTTTTGTTTGGCTTTCACAATATTCATATTCGCCAACTGTCAATGCAACTATGTAGGTCGACATTGGTGGTGTCGTATTAAAACAAACAGTTTTGGTGCCACATTTTACCTAAAAAAATAAAAAAATTGGTTTTTGGTGCCACATTTCACCTTAAAAAATAAAAAATTAGGTAAAGATACATAGGGCTAAGGGCTTGGTCTCACAGTTTTTTTTTAGAAATTATTATTAAATGTTTTGTCACCTCTAAAAATGTGTCCAAATCTTACAAACGAAATAATAGTCAGTTGAATTTTAGTTTATGCACACTTTTGTACACTGTTTTAGCCTGTCAAAATACTTCTAAATTACTATTATTATTATTATTATTTCTTTGTTTGTTTTTTTTTTTTTTTTTTTTATATGACTGTTATTGTTATATTGTTAAAATACTTAATAATTAGTTAACCAAAAACTTATATTTTAAAAAAACAATAAAAAAATTGAGAAACAAAATATAGATTTTCTAATTATTATTTTCATATGACTGTTATTGTTAAAATACTTAATAATTAGTTAACTAAAAATTTATAATTTAAAACACTTAAAAATTGTGAAACAAAATTTTATTTTTTTTATATGACTGTTATTGTTAAAATACTTAATAATTAGTTAACCAAAAACTTATATTTTAAAACACTTAAAAATTGTGAAACAACATTTTAATTTTTTTATATGACTGTTATTGTTGAAATACTTAATAATTAGTGAACCAAAAACTTATATTTTAAAAAACACTAAAAAAATTGCGAAACAAAATATAGATTTTATAATTATTATTTTCATATGACTGTTATTGTTAAAATACTTAATAATTAGTTAACTAAAAACTTATAATTTAAAAACACTTAAAAATTGTGAAACAAAATTATTTTTTTTTTATATGACTGTTATTGTTAAAATACTTAATAAATTAGTTAACCATAATTAAAAATAATGTGAAACAAAATATTTATAAATTTATAAAAGAAAAAAAACATATATTGTAAAAATACTTAACAATAATAATAAAAATGATATGATAATATTAATAATAATAATAATAGTAACAATAATATAAGACACTTAAATTTGTTAAAATTTCATAAAATAATCTAAAATTTGTTAAATAACATAATTATATTGTAAAAGTATTGTAAAGCTTATTAAAATGCTTATTAAATTTTTAAAAATACTTGCAACAAACTAGTTAGTTTTAAAAATAATTAAAATGAACTAAATATAAATAAGTTTATAGTAAATAAATTAAATAATAATAATAAGTAATAAAAAAAGCTAAAAATTAATTAAATTATATAAAACCTATAAAATATTGACTTAGCCTTATTATATATTATATACCGACGGCTTGTAAAATTAATAAATAAATAAATAACACATAAATAATTATGACAACAAAATGTGACGGGTGAGGGTGTAGTGGCTACTCCCCATCGAGACAAAAAAAAATTACTATCATTTCTTTTGAACAAAGTCCCTTGTTACAAACCCCTAACAACCTTTTTCAAGTTTTTGGTAAATTTTTTTACCAAAAACCTCGAACCTACCTCTTGTTCTTTCACATCCATGTTAGACAAAGCGGTTAATTGTTCTGGAACTTTCAAAATTACATCAAAAGTTGCCTTCAGGGAAGGCTCGTCAAAACAAGGGAAAGCCCTTCGGGCATCGTTGGGCTCGAAATGACTGACAATGTATGTCCTGTCACTAAAATATACAGAAAATACACATCAAATCAAATAACAAACGAAATTTTGTTCTTCTCAAATACAAAGATCGTGGAGCAAAAGAAATGAATGTATTTTTTTTATTGCTGTGTTATTTTTGTATACCCTTTAGGTGTTGGGACAGTGCTTTTATAAATGCCCGATGTCTGAGTGTCATCGTAAGTTTTTTTAAATTCCAAAACCAAAACAGCTTTTCCTTGTGGAATGCATTTTTTGAATGTGATGATGGCCCTTTCGTCTACTTCGCAATAGCAAATGTCATCTGTGGTATCACAACCTTTAAAAAAATAATAAAAATATAAAAATCAAAATTTTGAAAATCTAAAACATGGTCAGTTTTACATATTATTTAATTATTTATTTATTATTATTACTTTAATGTAGCAAATTATTGATCTGAACTTTAGTATAGTGATTGCTAAAAATTTAGCACTAAATATTTCTAGTTTTGTTATGATAAGAAAACAAATAGATAGTTGACTTCAACAATATTTCGTGATCACTTAAATAATTGACTGCGACACCGCTAGAGGCGCTAGTGGTCGTAGCAGGGTGCAGAACTTCTTGTAAATGGTTTACGTACTAGATAATTTTAGTTTATGCCCGTGCAGATAGGTAAATTCAGGACGCAGTTATACCTTACTCGTATAAATAAAAGAAATCAGCTAAAGAAATGTAGGCCATTTTTTATATATTTGAAAAATTAGTGAATTTTACTTGTGTTTACCATATATATTAAATATTATATCAAATTGTATGATGTTCTTATAACCAAAAACTGCCTTATAGTTAAAAATATCAATTTAAGTTAGAAATAGAACAAGTTATAAAAAAATCGCTAGAGCTTCCCATGTCGTCCAAACCTAACACAACGCTCTCTCATATATTTTTACTAAGGCTTGGATGAGCATGGTAAGCGTTACTTCAATAACTTTTATTACAAATGTTTTTGATATAATATTTACAGTTATAAACAAAACTAGGTGTAAATGGCATTTTGCCTTAATTCATTACGAAAATAAAACAAAAAGTTTTTCAGGAAATGACATTAATTAATAAAAATCTGTTGACCTAATTCATAAACCAAAAACACAGATATAAATTTCATTTTTTTGACATAGCATATAAATATTTGGGACTGGATATTATTAAATTATATTTAAGAATTAGAGAACTAGAAAATGAGAAATTTTACAAGTTACTTTGCAAATAAATCAATTTATAAGTTATGCTTTGCTTAGTTAAATTTAAATTAAATTTACATTCAGTGGTTTTTGCATACTCCTTAATTTTTACAAAAAAATCATGAAGAAGTTTAATTAAAAGTAAATTGAAATTCCAAAAAAAATATATAATGCTTTTTGATAGTTTTGATAAGTTTCTTCGCCTCTTGCCCTGGGTAAATGTATTCAAAGGGGTTTCAATTTTCATTTATATTTTTTAATATAACTTGGAAAATTAGTTTGAAATATTTACCTTCACAATGCTTTACTGTAGCATTATTGATAACAGGTCCTAAACAGCTAATAATTACACAACTTGTTTGTTCATTCACCTAAAATAAAAAAATTAAACCTAATTTCAATTTTGTAACTAAATAAATGTTTACTGTAGCTGCATCCATTTGAATGAATTTATTTTCAAAAAAAAAAATTTTCAGAACATGTTTCAAGTTATATTTTCAAAAAAAAAAATATTTGTAACGGATTTTGCAATATTTCAAAAGAAATTGGCAAAGTGCTCTCGTAAAGTCACATTCTAAACGCCTTTGCGAATATATTTGTACTAGGCTGTAACTTAGACTGTGTCCTGACAGGCTCTTTTTTGTTTTCTTCAATAATTTTCACAAAATTAAATAAAGAGCTCTAGTATAGTCAGAATTTGAGTACAATTGCTAATACATTGACAAGAGTCGTCACTTAGACTTAGAAATTTGGGAAAATATTCAGTAATTTTTGTTATTTTATTTCAAAAAAAAGCTATTTGATAATGTATACTATACCTTTAAATTTATTGAAACTTTTCCCTTATAACACGTTGAGCACGGATCGATTTCCAATTCCAAGACATAATGTTGAGGAACAATTGTTGTTGGAAGTTTTTGAAATTCTGGAGCTGTGGCCATTTTTTTGACCAAATTTTGGTTCCTTTTGAGTTAATCACATTTCAACTGTAATAAAAAAAAAGTTACCTAAATCTGCAAAAAAAAAACTAGCATAATTAATCTGAATCGGTTGATAAAAAGTAATAAAAATATATAGAAAAAAATAAATGATTTTGAATTTATTTATATTAAATTTTAAATTTAATAAGGACAGGTAATTACAAAAAAGATTAATAAAAAGCAGCTAAGAGGTAAAATACATATCTTAAATAAAAATTACATATTTACAAAAAAAATTTAAATGAGGTATTAACTATTTAGTTTAATCTGAATTTTTACTCCAAGTATTATAAAAATTTGTAGGAAAGTTTCAATCACAGATAAAAATTATATTTAAATACAATAAACTCATAGAACCAAAAATATTTTAACAATTATCTACATCATTTTTTAATTGACCTATAAGTAATTTAAAAATATTAACTGTATTAAATTACCACAATTTTATTTACAAAAGCAGAAAATAGTAATATTTTCCTAAATTACTTTACAATACTTACTTTAATTTATTTTTAGATATATGTTTTACATTTTTGTTATTAATTTTGTAATTGTGTTATTATAAAAATAATTTCTTAATATTTGTAATACAAAAAATTTAAATTTGACAAGTGAAAAACAATTTTGACTAAAATGTCAAAATAGATTTATTTAATAAAATTTGCAAATGCATAAATAATAATAAAAATAAATAGCAAATTAAATAAAAATGTATCCAAAATTTTGCAGATAGAAATTCTAAGTTTATCATGATTCTAGGGATATTAAAAAATAAAAATAAATTTAACATTTTTGTAAATATTTAATTTTTAATATTATACAATAAGCTTAGCAAGAGGTTTAAATTATATTTTTATTATTTTTAAATAAGACTTGCTCATGGATAAATATATAAAATACACAATTAATTAATTAATTATTTAATAAACAAATAAAAAATTACATATAAATAAATCAAGAATATCAAATAAATAATTAGCACTAGGGAAAAAAACATATACACTAAAAATTTAAATAAATCAATATTTTTGGATAAATTCTTTCGGTTTGAAATATCAAATAGATTTTTATTTCAAATATTTTTAAATAAAAAACAAAAACTATTGACATTTGCGACACGTCCTTTAACGAGTTCTAGTTTGTGTAAATACATTTGACTTTTTATACAAATCTTAATTATTATTTATTTAAATGACAATGTGATGATTCTAAATCATTTAGTGTTAATTGTTAATAAAGTTTTCAACAATAACAACAAGATATGGAGGACGAAAGACTTCCTACAAATATTGTCCCAAAACATTATACTTTGGATTTGAAGCCTGATTTCGATTTATTTATATTTTCTGGGAAATGTCTCATGACTATTGAGGTAAAATAATAATATTAATACACATATATATATATATATATATATATATATATATATATATATATATAAATGTAAATAAATAAATTAGTCAGAAAATATTTGAAATTGATCTTTACGCCTCTATACTTTTACTTAAAGAAACAAGACAAATAATGGTTTGGTATACTTGACATTATTATATTCGCAACGCTCTTCAGACGTATTGTTGACACTATGATGTTGGAATTTGGGCATGTCATACTTGAATATATATACTATGACCCATATCCTAAAATTCTAAGCCTGAGTAAAAATTATAATTAATTCAACACTAAACATATATGTACTTGTGGGATGTTTGGTATAAATAGATGTTTGGTTTCGAAGAGCTTACAGGGCGTACTGTTGTACTAGAGTTTTATAATTTCCGTATTTGTACTTCAATATGCGTATTTTGATATACAATATAAATTCGATAGGTCGATAAATAAAATATATACGAAAATTGAGGTTTTGTCTTGAAAAACCTGTAAAGTTAGTTTAAATTCAACGAGCTCCTCAGGACGTACAGTTGGTACTAGAATGATGCAACTTAGGCTTAATTACTTGAATATGTCTACTATGATATGAAGTAATAAAATTGCTAAGTCCAGAATAAAAACTATGATATTTTAATATTGAACTTGCAAAAACACTTCAAACCTATATGTATATGACGGTATCATTGAGATTCGTGGTATGAGAATGTCTGATTTAAAGAGCTCTTCAGGCCGAACTGATGGCACTAGAGTTTTGAAATTTTGGATATATTATACTTCAATACATCTATTTTGATAAACAGTACTAAATCAATAGGTGTAGAATAAAATATATACAGAAATTAATGCTTTGTCTCGCAAAAAGCACATTATAGTTAGTTTTATATTCAACGAGCTCTTCAGGACGTACTGTTGGTACTAGATGTTGTAAATTAAGCATATTATACTTGAATATGCCTACTATGATATAAAATTTATAAAATTGATATGTCCGGAATAAAAATTTGATTAATTTAATATTGAGCTTGCAAAACACTTTAAACCTATATGTATATGACGGTATAATTGGAATCCGTGGTATGAGAATGTCTAATTTTAAGAGCTCTTCAGGGCGTACTGATAACACTAGAGTTTTGTAATTTTGTATTTTTTACATCAATATGTCTACTTTGATATACAATACTAAATCGATAGGTCTTGAATAAAATATATACGGAAATTAATGTTTTGTCTTGAAAAACACTGTAGAGTTAGTTTTAAATTCAACGAGCTCCTCAGGACGTACGTTGGTACTAGAATGATGTAACTTAGCATAATATACTTGAATATTCTACTATGATATAAGATAATAAATTGATAAGCCCGAATAAAATGTTTGATTAATTTAATATTGAACTTATAAATGCACTCTAAACCTATATGTATTTGTCGGTATCATTGGAATCCGTGGTATGAGAATGTCTGATTTTAAAGAGCTCTTCAGGACGTACTGATGGCACTAGAGTTTTGAAATTTTAATATATTATACTTCAATATATCTATTTTGATAAACAGTACTCAAATCAATAGGTGTAGAATAAAATATATACAGAAATTAATGCTTTGTCTCAAAAAAGCACATTATAGTTAGTTTTATATTCAACGAGCTCTTCAGGACGTACTGTTGGTACTAGAGTGTTGTAAATTAAGCATATTATACTTGAATATGCCTACTATGATATAAAATTATAAAATTGATATGTCCGGAATAAAAATTTTGATTAATTTAATATTGAGCTTGCAAAAACACTTTAAACCTATATGTATATGACGGTATAATTGGAATCCGTGGTATGAGAATGTCTAATTTTAAAGAGCTCTTCAGGGCGTACTGATAACACTAGAGTTTTGTAATTTTTGTATTTTTTACATCAATATGTCTACTTTGATATACAATACTAAAATCGATAGGTCTTGAATAAAATATATACGGAAATTAATGTTTTGTCTTGAAAAACACTGTAGAGTTAGTTTTAAATTCAACGAGCTCCTCAGGACGTACAGTTGGTACTAGAATGATGTAACTTAGGCATAATATACTTGAATATGTCTACTATGATATAAGATAATAAAATTGATAAGCCCGGAATAAAATTTTTGATTAATTTAATATTGAACTTATAAATGCACTCTAAATCTATATGTATTTGTCGGTATCATTGGAATCCGTGGTATGAGAATGTCTGATTTTAAAGAGCTCTTCAGAACGTACTGATGGCACTAGAGTTTTGAAATTTTAATATATTATACTTTAATATATCTATTTTGAGAAACAATACATAAATAAATAAATTTATAGGTCTCGAATAAAATATATACGGAAATTAATGTTTTGTATTGAAAAACTCAGTAGAGTTAGTTTTATATTCAACGAGCTCTTCAGGTCGTACTGTTGATACTAGAGTGTTGCAAGTTAGGCATAACGTACTTGAATATATCTACTATGAAATAAAGTGAAAAAATTGATAATACAAATTATGACTAATTTAATTTTGAACTTGCAAAAATACTCTAAACCTATATGTATTTGACGGTATAATTGGGATTAGTGGTACGATGATGTCTAATTTTGAAGAGCTCTTCAGGACGCACCTATGACACCACATTCTTGTTTAAAAAAATTGTTTTTTCTTTTCCCCAGATAGTCGGCTGCGTAAACATCATAGAACTAAACTCCGTCGACCTTATTTTCGAGTATGCAGACTTGCACTATGCAGATGCACCCTGCGACACAATTCCTTGCAAAATCCTTATGGACCCCAAAAAAGAAAGGGTCAAATTTATTTTTAGGGACCATTTACAAAAAGGAAAAGCAGTTCTGCAGACTCTTTTTGTCGGAGTACTCAATAATAATTTGTCAGGATTTTATAGAACCACCAAAAGACCTGGAGCTGCTACTCAATTTGAAATGAAAAAGGCAAGGTAGGAGGAAGATGATTTATGAAATTTAAAAAATACGCCTGATACTACTGCAACCTTTGTTGTTTGGTTCTTACAGATGGTGTTTTCCTTGTATGGACGAACCAAGTTACAAAACGACTTTTGAGGTTATCTTAACAATTCCTGAAACCGTGACAGCACTTTCAAATATGCCAGCAAAATGCCAGGAAGTGACACCAGATGGCAGAGTCATCGCATTTCACAAAACTCCTAAAATGTCCACGTACCTTCTGGCAATTGTCATCGGGCAGTATGAATATCTGGAGCAACTCAACCGAGACAATGTCATGGTAAGAATAGCCAAATTTAATGCCTTAAGACTCTTAAATACCACTTACACCTAGTTTTTCCCCTATAGATTCGTGTGTATACCCCAGTTGGTCTGACGTCTCTTGCCGATTTGGCCATGGAGGCGGCTGTGAAGATGTTGGAATTTTTTGAGGATTATTTAGGAGTTAAATATCCTTTGCCCAAATTGGATATTGTTACGATTTCTGATTTTAGAGTTGGGGCGATGGAGAATTGGGGACTCATCACTTGTTCGTGAGTAGATACATTCTTATTTAATATCAAACAAATTTGGAAATTTTTGTCAGAAATCGGATTCTATACAAAAATACCTTTTAAATGATACCCCACATGCAATAAAAGTATCAGCAAAAATTTTTGAAGTAAAACTTTTTTAGACTCCTATGCTACAAATTTGTATAAATGTACATTTTGTTGACAGAAATTACATAAATAAATTTTATACCTAAATTATTAAGAAAAAATTAATAAGTTTTACCAATATAATATTTTTTGCAATATATATATAACGTTTTTATCACAATGTAATCATTTTTTTTGTAAAAATCGCATTCTACTCATCGAGAGCTTTCAAACGATACCCCACATGCCATAAAATACTTCATCAAAATTTTTTGAAGTAAAACTTCTTTAGACTCCTATGCTGCAAATTTGTGAAAAGTGTATATTTTGTTGACGCAAATCACATAAACGAGTTTTACACCTTAAGTATTAAGCAAAAATAAATAAAAATTAACATTCTAATATTTTTCGCATTATATATATAACGTTTTTATTACAATATAATCATTTTTTAGTGAAAATTGCATTGTACTCGTCGAGACCTTTTAAATATTTAAATGATACCCCACATGCCATAAAACATACCATCAAAAATTTTTGAAGTAAAACTTCTTTAAGCTCGTTTACTACAAACGCATTAAATATCTAAATCTCATTTGTTAACTTCTTACTTATCACTTGTTCGTGAGTAGATATATTTAATTTTAACCACAAATTTAAAAATTTATTACATTATTTGGGTTGTATTCAAAAAGACCTTTCAAATGATACCCCACATGCCATAAAAGTATCAGCAAAAATTTTTGAAGTAAAACTTCTTTAGACTCCTATGCTACAAATTTGTATATGTGTACATTTTGTGGGCGAAAATGATATAAAAAGGTTTTACACATCAATTGTTAAGACAAAATCAATAAATTTCAACATTCTAATTTTTGCTTGCAATATGTATATAACGTTTTTATCACAATATGATATTTTTTTATGAAAATTGCATTCTACTCGTTGAGACCTTTCAAACGATACCCCACATGCTATAAAACATACCATAAAAAATTTTTGAAGTAAAACTTCTTAAGACTCATGTGCAACAAATTCGTGAAAAGTGTATATTTTGTGGACGCAAATCACAAAAAAGTTTTGCACCTCAAATATTAAGCAAAAATCAATACATTTTTACATTGCAATATTTTTTGCAATATGTATATAACGTTTTTATCACAATATAATATTTTTTTGTGAAAATCGTTTTCTACTCGTTTGAGACCTTTCAAACGATACCCCACATGCCATAAAAGTAACCATTAATATTTTTTGAAGTAAAACTTCTTTAAGCTTGTTTACTAAAAATGCATTAGAAGTGTGCATTAAACATCAGAATCTCATTTGTTATTGATAAAGTTGATTACGTATACATATAGGGAAGGCAAAATGCCACTTACAACTAGTTCCATTTATTTGTTTCAGAGAAGCCGGACTTTTGGTCGACAGAAATTCAACAGCAAATGATATAAGAAGTCTGTACCTAATTATGGCGCATGAAATAGCTCATTTGTGGTTCGGAGATCTGGTTACTAGGAATTGGTGGAACGATGATGGAACGATAATTGGATCAAAGAGGTTACTTAATAATAGAAAAAAATATTTCTTTTTGTAATAATGATGTTTTGGTAATTTTTTTTAGGTTTTGCTATATTTTTGCAAACGTACTGTTGCCTTGAACTGTATCCAGAGTACGAATGGATGTCAAAATTCCTAAATTTTGTTCTGGTTTATGGATTGGCCATAGATGCTTCGCCCCCAGGTAATAAATTTAATATATTTTGAATTTTCATTAAAATAAATCATTTTACGTGTCATTAATGTTAACTAATTTTGAAATATTTTTTAATTATTCGATTTGTTTGATCCATGTAAATTTTTTTTTTTTTTTTTTTTTTTTTTTTTAAATAATAAGTATCATAAATTCCAAAGATCATTTTTTATCACCAAATGGATTTTTTTACTTTTTTTATTAGATCTCCGAAACTTCTGGACCTGCCTTCCTAGTAATGTTTAAGCCAACAATAAAGTGAAATATTTTTCGAATCATTCAATATTGTTATATTGTTTATGAATTGTTTGTCAATTATCAATAGAGTCTTTATTGCATTTTTTTAAATCTTCACTATAGTTCTTTGAACCACTTTTTTCTTAATTTGCTTGTCAGTAGAGTTCTTTTAACATTTTTTCTAAATTTGCTTGTGAGTAGATTTATTTCGTGTCTTCTAGAAATAAAGTTTGCTCGTCAGTAGAGTCTTTTCGTCCTAAATTAATTAAAAATCTAAAATTGCTCGTCAGTGAAGTCCATTTTTTTAATATGCTCGTCAGTAGAGTCCTTTCCCATTTTTATGAATTTGTTTCGTCAATGAGATTGACTATTATTTTTTTTCATTTGTTTGTCCGTCCGTAATTTGTTTGTCAGTAGAGTTCATTTTACGTTTTTCTAAAAAGTTTGCTCGTCAGTAGAGTTTCTGTCTTGTATTTTAGATTAAAATTAACTTTGCGTGTTTTGTAGAGTTCTTGTTTATCTACAATGAAATAAAATACTGAAATTGCTTGTTAGTAGAGTCCTCTTCATCATTTTTTTTTTAATTTGCTCACAAGTAGAGTCCTTTTTATCATTTTTCCTTAATTTGCTTATTTGTTAGTAGATTCCCTTTCTTGTCTTCTGGGTTAACACTAAATTTGCTCGTCAGTAGAGTCATTTTTTTCTCTACAATGAAATAAAAATCTGTAATTGCTCGTCAGTAGAGTCCTTTTAACATTTCTTCCAAATCTGCTCGTCAGTAGAATCCTTTTCTTGTCATATGTGTTGAAATTGAGTTTGCTCGTCAGTAGTGTCCTTTTTTGTCTACAATGAAATAAAAATCTGAAATTGCTCGTCAATAGAATCCCTTTCTTGTCTTCTGAGTTAAAATTAAATTTGCTCGTCAGTAGAGCCATTTTTTCGCTACAATGAAATAAAATTCTGAAATTGCTCGTTAGTAGAGTCCTTTTAACATTTTTTGCAAATTTACCCTTTCTTATCATCTGAATTAAAATTAAGTTTGTTTGTCAGTCAAGTTCTTTTTTATACACAAAGAAATAAAATTCTGATATTGCCCGCCAGTAAGGTTTTTTATTCCTAATAGTTTTATCAATTTTTTGCTTTATTTGCTCGTCAGTAGAGTTCCTTTCTTGTCTTCTAGAATGAATTCAAATTTGCTTATCACTGTAGTCCTTTTTTGTCTACAATAAAATAAAATTCTGTGTTTGCTTGTCAGCAGAGTCCTTTTTATCATTTTGTCCCTAGTTTGCTCGTCAGTAGAGTACCTTTTATTGTTTTATCTGAAATTGCTCGTCAGTAGAGTCCTTATCATAACTTTTTTTTAATATTTGCTCGTCAGTAGAGTCTTTATCATATTTTTTTCTCTATTTACTTATCAGCAGAGTCCTTTGTATCTTTTTTTCTTAATTGCCCGTCAGTAGAGTTTGTTTTGTTTGCTCGTCAGTAGAGTTCTTTTCATCACCTATGGCACTGAATTTCCATTTTCTGCACTTTTTGCTTCATATCTCCGATACTACAGGCCCTGTCTCTGCGAAAAAGTAATCAGCTCGTTTCCTCATCAATAGGAATCGAATGCTTTTTGAATCATTCAAATCATTATGTTCATGAAAAATTGTATCCGCACATACATACATACATTTTATTTTGTAAGATTGAAAAACTCAGAAAGTTCTGCACGGATTGAGCTGAAATTTTAGTATGATACATCATTTGTATCTGAAATGGTTATTATTTATTTTTGACATCAGTCACATACCCAGAAACGCATTTTTTTTTATTTTACCCTGTTTTAATCGTGGCGCCTCCTAACGGTGACAACGCCATATGCTTGATTTTGGAGCTAATTCGGAGCATTATTAAATCTTTACTTAAGTCAATGAATTTATAGACAATAAATATATATTTTTTTCACGAGACACACATTTTTTAGGTTGCTATAAATATATCCATTTAATATTTTTTATTATTTTTTATTATTTTTAGACGATTTGAGCCTGGAACAGTACACCTCGGACAGCATGAGCACGCCCTTAAAGGGCGCAGTCGTTTTGCGAATGATCAAACATCAAATTGGCGACCAATTATTTAGGCAAAGTGCCAATTTGTTTTTGCATCGATTCAAATATAGCACTTGCGAAACGAGAGACGTCTGGAACGTTTTTGACGAAGTCAGCGGAATGGCCATTGGTAAAAAATAAAAAAAATTAAAAAAAAAATATTAATTTATTTGGTACTTCAAAAATTTTCAAGAATATATTATTTTTATGATTTTTTTATTTTTTTATCAGGTACTCTGATGGATACCTGGGCAAATCGTGTCGGTTTCCCAATCTTGACGATAACTTCTAAGATGTGCAATGACACGCGAGTTCTGACCATAACCCAAACAAAATTTATGCACGATGGCAGTAAGGATCCGAATGGTGATATTTGGATTTACCCATCTCCATTTTGGCGGAATCGTGTCCAAACGAGGTAAAAATAATACAACATTTTTTTATAAAATTTTGCAAAATTGTATATTTGGTAAATTTGCACCAAATTGAATTGTATATTAAAATCGTTCCTAGAACTAGAAATTTATTCTTAGCTTGTTGTGCATTTGTTTTTTTAAATTTTGTGTAACTTCTAAACTTTTTGTCTAGCATAAATTTCATATTTGACAAATTTATTGAAAATTAAATTGTCTACAATATTTCTCTACATCTACAACACTAACACCTTAAATATCCTTAAAATCGCATTCGAAAGGAAGAAAGTTTGAAAATTTTGTTATACCATTATTTCTTGCTTATTGTTTATATGTAAAATACGCCTGATCACTCAGAAAAAAAATCTGGCCACCAAATTTAGTAAAAATCTTAAAAAGGACTATACTAACTAGCAAACTTAGGAAATAATAATGAAAAGAACTCTACTGACGAACAAAGTTAGAAAAAAATAATGTAAAAAAACTTTACTGAAGAACAAGTAACTAAAAGATAAAAATAACTTTACTGACCAACGATTTCAAAAAAAAAAACAATAAAAACAATTCGACTGACGAGCAAATTTAGAGAACAAAATAAAATGAACTTTACTGACGAGCAAATTAAGAAAAAACCGTTAAAAAGGACTCTACTGACGAGCAAACTTGATTTTGATCTTGTTGGTTAAAAATAGAACTCTACTGACAAGCAAGTTTAGAAAAAAATATAAAATTCTCTACTGACTTGCAAATTTAGCAAAAATAGTGAAAAGGATTCTACTGACGAGCAAAATTAGAAAAAAATAATGTAAAAAAGACTCTACTGACAAGCAAATTGAAAAAAAAATGATAAAAAGAAACTGACCAACGATTTCAGAAAAAAAATATAAAGACAATTTTACTGACTAGCAAATATAGAAAAAATAAAACAAATTCTACTGACGTGCAAATAAAAAAAAATAGTGAAAAGGACTCTACTTATGAGCAAATTCAAAAAAAATTGATAAAAAGAACTCTACTGACGAGCAAATTTAGAACAAAATAGTAAGAAGAACTATACTGACGAACAAATTCAGCTAAAAGTAGTGAAAAGAACTCTACTGACGACCAAATTTAGAGAAAAACAGTAAAAAAGACTCTACTGACGAGCAAGTTCAGCTAAAAAGAAAAAGGAACTTTACTGATGAGCTAATTTAGAATAAAATAGTAAAAAGGACTTTACTGACGAGCAAATAAAAAAAAATGTTAAAAGGGACTCTACTGACGAGCAAAATTAGTCAAAATAGTGAAAAGAAATCTACTGACGAGCAAATTTAGAAAAAAAAATATATAAAAAAACTCTACTGATGCACATATTAATAAGAAAAATATATAAAAAGACTCTACTGACAATTTAATTTAGGAAAAAATAGTAAAAAGACGGTACTGACAGAAAAATTCTGGTAAAAGATAAAAAAACTTGACTGACAAACGATATTCAGGAAAAATTATAAAAAGAACTCTACTAACGAGAAAATTTAGAAAAAAATCTAAAAATTAAATAAGACTCGACCGACAAACAAATAATATTAAACACCTAACAAATTAAAAAAATAAAAAAAAACAAATTCTTAGATAAAATAGAAATATTATATTTGTGAAATCAGGCGTTTTACACATAAAACCTAACCTCCAGATGGCACAAACATCAACTAACAGTCTTATCATAAGTGCAACTTTCTGACGTCTCATACGTGAAGAACACATACGTGAAGTTAGGCTTTATGTATCGTTCAGCTATATAGATTTTCAACATAGCATTCGCAAAACATTTCTATTTTATATGAAAATTGGTTTTTTAGTTTTTATTTATTTTTAGCCGGTAATTAGCACAATTATGGACAGCGAAAGTTTAACCATAAGTTTACCCGGAGTTGGTGCCGGAGAATGGATTAAATTAAACCCCGGAGCCGTCGGTTTCTATAGGATTCTTTACACACCGGAGGAATTAGAAAAGGTAATAATAAATACAATTTTAATAATCCAATAATTCCTCGAAATAATATATAATAACAATTGGAACAGTTTTTTAACATCATAGATCGCAAACACTGTCTAATTGCTACTACTTTAATTTTAATTGTTTTCCGACTCCATTGATGGCGCCACTTGTTTTAGCACGTAAATTTACCCCTAGGTTTTGATATATTTTGTTTGTTTTTTTAGCTTAAAAAAGCAATAAAGTGTCAACAACTACACGCCCTGGATAGATTCAACATTCTGAATGATGTCTACGCCAATTCCAGAGCCGGTTACATGCCCATGACACAGGTAAATTTAGCCTTAGGGCAAGTTACACGAACTTAATTCATTATATTAACTAGGTGACCCGACAGACGTTGTCCTGTACCCATGTCTACCATTTTTTATTATAATATACTAATATTTGCCGTTTACCTAAAAATAATAATTATCGTTTATTAAATTACTCTTTACGCCAAAATGCATATACATTTATAATATGAGCGATGTTAAATGCAGAACTGATTTAAATAAAATGATGAGTCTCAGTTATCACACTATATTGGAAATTGAAGTCTTTTAAATGGTATTACATAACCATAACCATAGCATTTCACTGGTACTTCATGTTGGATTAAATTAATTTCATTATTTATTACTTAAGATATCCAAAATTGCATCTTAAACTTCTCTTAATCGATATCGTGAGGGCCGAATTGTATGTATTCATCTTTACTTTCCCATTTGTTGTTATAAAGTGAAATTTTTACGTTAAAAAATATTGTGGAAAGATTAGTAAAAGATGCAAAGAAATTATATATTGAAAAAAAAAACTATTTTGAAAATTTAATATCCGAATCTTGTGTTGGCGCCCCCTAAGGCGTGCGCTCGTATTTTTCGCATGCATCGCATTAAAGGTAGGTCCGGCCCTGATTAATACTTAATTTCATATTTTAAGTGAATTAATTTGTCATATTTGTTCATATGCATATCATTCAATCTGTCATACATATACTGTATTTTATATTATTTTAATTTCTGACACATCTCAGCTGCTTTTTGGCAATAATCATGTAGACTTTTCTTTTTTCTTATTCATAATCATAAATTTATTATACATATTCTAATATTGTCTAGGTTCATGAGTAAATTGAAATTTTTGGCAGATGATAGTTTTCATTTGTTTTCAATGCAAACAATGACATGCCGTTTCTTGCAATTTTTTCGATTAATTTCTACAATATTGCATATACATTCCAGAACTTTATAATAATCAAATACATCCTAGAAAATTTCCTTAACAAACTTTAGAAAGATTTATCAAAATCCGCATAATCGTTTAGAAGGAGTATACAGTGAGTGCTTGTAATTTAATATGACCTTTATATAATAGCAATAAAGCTCAAATTGATTCTACGTTTTAGTTAGAAAACGTTTGTATGAGAAAAAGAAAAGGGCTGTTTTTAGGGGTTTTCCGGCAATTATTCGATTTTTTCTTGCCGTAAGAACCATCTTTGGACTTCAACGAACATTAGTAGTTATAGTATTTGGGCCGAATATCGAAAATGAATTTTTTTGCATTTCTCGACGTTCTGAAGGTTTCTGAACATTTTACTGGCATACCTCAGAAACTAAATGGATGTGTGTGTTGTTTTGTACGTCCGTATTTTTTCGTCCACGTTTTCGGACGCACGGATCAACCGATTTGAATTGTTTAAAAAACATTCGATTCCTATTAATAGGGAGATGTGCGGATTAGTTTTTGGCAAAGGCAGGTTCAGCCGTTACGGAGATATGAAGTAAAGAGTGCAGAAAATAGAAATCGAGTTTTTGACAGAACGGATCATCCGATTTGTATGATTCAAAAAACATTCAGTTCGTAATGACGGGGAAAAGTGGTAGTTAGTTTTTGGTAAAGGTAGGCACAGCGGTTTTGAAAATGCAGAGCTAAATGTAAAAAATGGCAGTTTTTGAGAGAACTAAGCGTCCGATTTAAATGATTCAGAGAACTTTTTGCTTGTTTCAACAAAATAATTGCTTTTGGAAAAAAATTGTTACTAATTTTGTTTTTCATAAAATATTTTTGTAATTTTGAATTAGAAACTCAAAAAATGACCCAGGCTAAGCACATATAAGCGCCACTCGGGTTTTTACACAAATTATAACACAAATATTTACCCAAGTGCGTTTAGACTGTTTATGTGAGAATATATATTGGAAAATGTGAAAATGCCGCCAAGCTAAGCACGGTCTAAGTGAAAATGTCGCACAGAATTATTTGCAAATGCGTTTAGACTGTGACTATACGGGAGCACTTTTTCAATTTTGTGCAAATTAGGCAACTATTTTTTTCTGAAAGTGAATTCGAAATGAAATGACGATAGTTAATGTTCTGGAGATGAATTGATTTATGATTTACATTTGATTTGCTCAGATATAACAAGATAGCAAAAATAATGAAAGTTACATTATTTGTAATAATATATTTGAAAACGTTGAAAATTTCTCGAATATTTCATTACGGTTCGGGAAGTTCCAGCAATTTGCCTTAAGGCACGATGCCATACACCACTAGTTATATTGATAATTTTCTCTCCCAGGTAATGAGTTTCATGGAATCCTACATCGATGAAGACGAGTACACAGTCTGGTGTTGCATTTTGAACTGCCTAATAAAACTTTGGGAAATGATGACCAACACCAAACTTTTGGAAAAATTCAACACGTTTGCATTGAAAATCATGAACAAAATCAAGCCAAATGTAAAATGGAATCTGTCCTTTAACGAAAGTCCGCAGAACAAGTTTATGTCGAATTTGATACTGTCCTCGTTGGTGCAATTTGGTGACCAGGAATCTATTTGTGAAGGACACAAGAGGTAAGTGGTAATATAAAAATACTATAAATGGACAATCAAGGGTGAATTATTTTTTTAGATTTCAGGAGCATGTCAAAGGGCCATGCAAAATGCAATCTGATCTCTGGACACCTTGTTTTTATGCTGCCATGATAAAGGGCGAAGAAGACGATTATCATGCCTTCGTTGAAATGTATCGACAGGCCAAGGACGATGATAATTTAAGGTAATGGATAAAAAAATCTTCTACACACTACTATATCTTATATATAAAAATGGAGCTCTCTATAAAATGATCCGCTAAAACTCGAAAACGGCTAAACCGATTTGGCCAGTCTTAGTCTTGAAAAATTCGCGCTATTCAGTAGGAGGTTGTCGAAAAGGTGGGATATTTTTTCAAATTTGCGTAGAAACTTTACATTTTTAATTTGAAAATTTTTGTAGAAGCGTATTTTGAATAAAACAATGGATGGTGGCTAATACGTCAAATGTCAAACGTTTTCAACAGATGATGTTCAATTATGTTTATTAGGATGTTTTACGTGAATATTATTTAATTATGACTGAATTGTAGTAAGTAGTTTGTTTGTAGTTATATTTATATACAAAAACGTTATTAAACGGATCGCAAGTGTTACTAGAAACTCAAAATATAAACTTTTTTAAAATGTTAATATGAAAATGCACTTTTTGGCATATTTTTCTCAAACACGGTACTCTGAAAGATCTCATTTGTATAATTATATACTCATTGGTATTTATAAAACATTTTCTAGGTTATATTATTTTTTATTTATCTTATTTGAATTCAGAACCTAAATTTGGTATCGATCATTTTATTTTATTTGGACATTTTGTCAAATAACATTTTCCCAGTTATAATTTACCAGAATTTATCGAAGAATAGATTGAAATATTTGAAGGTCCGGGGTTGAAAAGGTGCGGAAGGACCTATGTGTCAAAAACCAGTAAAGTTAAGCACTGTTTACCAACAATATTTGAAAGTAGAGGGAAAAAGATGTATAACCAGCTATAACCTTGATTCTTATGACTTTGCTATCGGGAGATAAACGGTAATTTTTGAAAATCTATAATAAAAGTATTTCCTACCGTTGGCAGTTTTTTAGCATTAGTTAAAAATGTAATTATTTTGAAAAATACCTTAAAAAATTGTGTCTGTAAAATTAAAATAAGACATTAAACCTGTTTGCCACCTGGCCGTTCCAAGTTTAAAACAAATTTTTGAAAGACAGCAAAAAAGCACATTTCTACAATGATGAAGTAGCTGGCAGTTTTACTGAACGTTGTCAGATAATTGTTTGTTTGAAATTTGTTATATGTTATGATGTAATTGTTTTGGTTTTTACAATCTAGTTTATATTTTCTCAAAGTTCAAATGGACCTTTGTGTCTCGCCCTGCTCTACATATTTACTTTTTATTAAATTTACTTTCGTCGAATGTTACTTGAAACTTTTCAAAAAATTCAGAAATACTTAATTCATTTTCTATCTTTCCTTGCAGAAATTTGAAAATTTTGTATAAACTCAGTAGTATTATTTACAATTATACACAAAATCCAGAATCCAAAAAAAATCTGAAAATCTTGAAATGTAATCAAGAAGTCGAAAGAACAAAAAAGACTTGGATTGCCAATAAACCCCTTGGATTAGATTATACCATGTTTTCTAAAGAAAGTGTATAAAACTTTCAGTTTGAATGTATTGACAAAATATAGACAAACTAACGGGGTTTATTGTTTTTATAATACCTCATTGTATATATCATTCAAACAGCACATCCTTATACACTTGAAGTATTAATATTTTTGATTCTCTAGAAATTGTTTAGAATATATACCTTACTTTGCAAAACAATGTTTGCCGGGTCAGCTAGTAAATATATAATATACTTATGTTTCCTTTATAGAACAGAGATCCTGTATTGTTTCGGCAAACTCCAGTCAGCAGAATTGTTGGAAAAGGCCTTAGATTTTCTATTATCTGAGGTCCAAATTGAAAGTACAATCAGGCCCTTGTACAGTATTGTTTTGACACCATTGGGTAGACATGTGACCTGGAAGCATTTTATAGAGAACAGGGAAAAGTAAGTTTTAGTAGATTTTTTTTCAAATTTTAATTTTATTCTGGAATCTGTATATATTATTACATTAAGCAAAGAATGCTGAGTTGTTTACAAACTAATAGATAGCCCCAGTAGCGTATCTACTAGAGCTAATATATTAAAAAAAAAAAGAGTGCGCGTAAGGATCACACGCGATTGAAGTAAAACTTTTAATATTGTATGAGTAGACAATTAAGATAAAAACTAGTGGGGTGGGTGGCATCGTGCCTTAAGGCAAATTGCTGGAACTTCCCGTACCGTAACGAAACGTTCGAGGAATATTGAATGTTTTCAAATAGATTATTATAAATATTGTATTATTGTCTAATATTTATAATAATTATATAAACTGAATTGCAGAGTTGAAATTATTTGTTTAAAGTATATTAGAACTATAGTCAGAATTAAAAATAAAATCTGAATTATTTTCGATATACAAAAAATTTACAAAAAATTTAAAAAAAAAAAAAAAAAAAAAATTGTACAAAATTTATTTTTCCAAAATCAATTATTTTGTTAAGACAAGCAGAAAGTTCTTTGAATCAATTGAATCGGACGCTTAGTTCTCTCAAAAACTGCCATTTTTTGTACATTTAGCTCTGTATCTCCGAAATGGCTGGGCCTGCCTTTGCGAAAAACTAATAACCCTTTCTCCCAATCATTACTAATGGAATGTTTTTTAGATCATCCAAATCGGATGCTCCGTTCTCTCAAAAACTCGATTTCTATTTTCTGCACTCTTTGCTCCTTATCTCCGTAACTGCTGGACCTGTCTTTGCCAAAAACTAATCAGCTCTTCTCCTTATTAATAGGAATCGAATGTTTTTTAAACCATTCAAATCGGTTGATCCGTACGCCCGAAAACGTGGACGAAAATTTGTATCCATACATACATACACACACACACACACACACACACACACACACATCCATTTTTTCTGAGGTATGCCAAAACGTTCAGAAACCTTCAAAACGTCGAGAAATGTAAAAATTTTCAATTCCGATTTTCGGCCCATTACAATAACTTACCCTACGGGAAGTTAATAAAAAAACATCATATTTGAATTTTAAAAATCATTTATTAATAATCACATAACATCAATAACACAGTTTAAAACAACAACGATAGATTAATTGCTATCATATTTCATATATGATATAATAGGTTTGTGATAACTAAAATGAGAGACATAAATTTTGCTTTGTAAACTATGTACATTTCTGGAGAAAACTGCATCAATAGTCGTGCCATATCTTGTGGTTGAATCAAATGGAGAATTATTCATCGTTAAATTAAATTTATTATTTAAAAAATCAATTAATGGTTGAGATTCTTCTGAACGAAAATTGACATTGAAATCTCCAGCAAGAATTAATGGTATCTCGTTGTGATTAGTGTTTAAAAGTTTTGCACCCTCATTAGAAAAATGAAGTAACTGCTGATGTTCAATTCAATAATATTTGATATGTTTTTATTGGGAGAAATTTAAAGGACGACTATAATCAATGTTTGATTCTGTGTGTTCATACAGCGGACAACTGCAATATCACCTACTTGTGTAATTTCATTAGGAATATACAGTAATATCGTTGGCGCAAGAAACTGCAAAGGAGTCGCATTATGAAGAGTATCTGAACATGAATGATAGACATTAGACAGCTACACCACCTGCTCTTGAGTTTGATCGTTTGTATTGAGTAACGCAGTAATAGTTCTGAATATTAATTCGTTCTTCATTATTAATCCAAGTTTCCGAAAATAACAAAAACGTACAACGTTGTAGCACTTTATCTTGCAGATCAGGCAAATGAGCTCGTAAACTTTGGCAGTTAAAGGAAAGCAATGAAATGCCGTTCAAACTTATTATCTCACTCAATTTTTCTTCTTGTGTTATTAATCTACAAGTTGAAAGTCTTTGGAATTCAGTTTTTAAGTCCATTAATCCTGCTGGCCGTTTTCTTCCATAATAAAATTTTTTGTCGTTGTTTTAGAAATGATGAACAATCCATTAATGCTGGTAACTCGTGATAATGCAACATATAGAAGCTGCTGATTATGTGTTTTATTGTATTCATATACAATTTTATCAAAAGTACCACCTTGTGATTTGTGTATTGTGAGTGCACAAGCAGACACTAAAGGAAAATGATTTCTTTTGACAAATATGATTTTATTTCTATTCATTGGAATAGATGAAGATTTCCTGAGAATCGGCACAGCTGTCCTACTGATATTAAGAGTTTGAATATGATGTGCAGCTTTCTTCTTATTTTGTTACCTATCTTACCAGGAAATTCAAACCATAAACGTAGAAGTTCATCATTATCGCCACGTTCTATGTACACTAATTTTCCTACACAACCATTAGCTAAGCCATCACTTACATCAATATTAGTTGTTATTATGTAAAATTTATTCAGAACTAAAATTATTTCATACGGCAAACCCCCGGTATCAATAACCGATTTTTGTGAAACTGTTGACGAATGTATGATTGTTGATATGTCGCATGGCAACCTACACAAATATCCGTGGCAATAGATATTATTTTGTCTTCAACGAGATTCAGTATAAATTTATTATATTCCATGATACATTTATTCTCTAAGAAAAGTCTTATTCCATGAGGACATAATACAGCAACCTCTTCTTTTGTAAAAAAAACGTGATTCAATTAATGCAAGTTCATATAGGGTTTAGCGCTCGACTTACGCATGACATGACGGGAGTGGATACTCGCGACATCAGCGCTTACGGCGTCGTAGTGTTCAACTACACGTTGGCGTTTTCGTTGCATTTGTACGGATTTACACCCGTGTAGCCTAAAGAAATTTTTACACCCATATCGCGCCTAAAGAAGTTTTACTTCAAAAACTAAAAACAAAAGAGGAAAAAACAACAGAGTGTAGTAAAATGAAAGTAGAAAAATAGTAATTTTTTAGTTTATAAGTTTTTACGATTTTTGAAGAAGGGACTCTACTGACGAGCAAACTATTTTTATAATCATTTATACAGAAAAGAGACTCTACTGACGAGCAACCTAAAATGTATTAGACAAAATTAACACTGGGTACAAAGAAAATTCAGGGAAAGTGTAAGGGTAAATATTTATATATTTGTCTGAAAAGGGACTCCACTGACGAGCAAAATAGTTTTTTTTTCAAGATATTTATGCAGAAAAAAACTGACGAGCAACCTAGAATTTTTTTTTAGAAAATATTTATACAGAAAATGGACTCTACTGACGACCAAAAAATATTATTACAAGAAATGGGACTATACTGACTAAGATACTCTATTGACAAGCAACGTAGATATTTTCAAGATATTTATGCAGAAAAAAGACTCTACTGACTATCAAACTAGTTTTGTTTGAGAAATATTTATGAAAATGCAAAAAAGGGACTCTACTAACGAGCAATCTAAAATGCATTAGACAAAAATAATACGGGGTACAAAGGAGACTCTGGAGAAAGGTTAGGGGAAAATATATACTCTGAAAAAGGACTCTACTGACGAGCAAACTAGATTTTTTCAAGACATTTTTGCAGGAAAGATGAGTAAACTGGAATTCCTTTGGAAATATTTATACAGAAAAAGGGACTTTACCGACGAGTAAATTAGAATTACTTGAAATATTTTTTTTTTATATAGAAAGGGACTCTACTGACGAGCAAATTAGAATTGTTTTTTTTTTAATTATTTATACAGAAAAGAGACTACTAACTAGCAGGAAATATTTCTTCAAGAATAAGGACTATGACAAGCAAATTAGAATTTCTTAAAATATTTTTTTACAAGCAAGAGAACTCTACTGACGAGCAGGAAATATTTTTACAAAAAAGGAACTCTACTGACAAACGAAGAAATATTTTTACAAAAATGGGACTCTACTGATAAACAAAGAAATATTTTAACAAAAAAGAGACTCTTCTGACGAGCAGAAAATATTTTTATAAGGAATGGGACTCTACTGATCAACAATATTGAATTTCTTATTTGTTAATGTTCTGGAGATAAATTGATTTATGATTTATGATTTACAAGATAGCAAAAATAATGAAAGTTACACTATTTGTGTAATAATATATTTGAAAACGTTTAAAATTTCTCGAATATTTCATTACGGTACGGGAAGTTTCAGCAATTTGCCTTAAGGCACGATGCCATACACCACTAGTTATTGATTAAGTTCATGGAACTTGCCTTAAGACAATTTACCACTTACATCTATTTTATTATTTTTTCCCCAGGTACATTGATAGGTATCTAGCAAGTGACTACATGGGCACCATAATCGACATAATAATTTCGAGAAACGTTTGCAATATAAAGGCGGAAAAAATGCAAAAGTACTTTGAGGACAATCCTATTGAAGGTATGAGTTGTCTGATTCAAAAGTGTGTTGACAGTGTGAAAAGGAACAGTGACTGGATTAAAAGGGACTCCGAACTCCTTGAAAAGTTCCTAGATGAGAAAAAGGATGGACAGTGTGTGTGAAATGTTTGTTTGTTGAAAAATAATAATAATATTACGATTTTGTTTGGTATTTGGTGTTTGGTAATTGATAATAGACTTATGGACCGATTCTGCCGCATAAGAGACAAATGTTATGGCAAGGCCGTGTTACGCTCCGATTTCCATACACTATGCTACTAAGAAGTGTATTAAATTTTATCTAGTTTCACCCTATCTAACTGAAAAGGGGCGGTTTTATATGAAATTTTTGAGTTATTTGACAAAATCCAAAAAATGTCCCGAATTTTCAATTTATTGCTAAAAATGAAATGAGTCGTTTTATTCAATTTTTTTATTTCGGAGTGTATAGATGTGCTTCTAAGAACATGTAGTAAATTTTAACTTTTAATTTTCACCCTGAAACTGAATCATACTGGGTTAAAAATGTCATGTATTTACAGTGCATTCAGGCGTTTTACACATAAACTGCAACGTCTCTAGTATGTTATGAAGTTGTGTCAGAAAGACCCTGTTACCTACCATCGTTTGACATTTTCTATGATAGGTTTCTATATAAGGTTTTCTCTCTGATTAACTGAGAAATACGCCTGACTGTATACCAACCGCATGGGTTTTGTCAATATTCAGTATGGAAAGTTTTTCATAACATGGTCTTGCCATAACATTTTTCTGTTGTGCGGCAGAATTGGTTCCTTAAACCAGTTGAATGTGTCGCTCATATGAAAAAGTGTGCACAGTTTTGTAGGAATAAAGATTATGATGAGTATATTTGTCATGACGTGTATATACGCCACGAAGTGTATATAAGTTTTGACGTGTATATGCGTCATGACGTGTATATTCGTCATGACGTGTATATTCGTCATGGCGAGTATATTTGACAATCACAAGGTAAGTTGCTGTTGGTAAGATTTGGGATGACAAATATGGGTTAAAAATGTTATTACTACATTTTGCTTCTTTGCTACTATATTATCACATATTACATATTAAATTTAATGAAATATTTTACATATAAATGTAAGAAAGTAAGGAATTTTTTAAGATGAAAAGCTGAAATTAGTTTTGAAATTAAGAGTAGAAATTGTTTAAAAAAAATTATTTCTACATTTTCTGGCAACTTGCCGCAAGGCTATATGCTACATACAACTAGTCTATTTACAATCACATAGTCAAAATCTCTAATTTGCTCGTCAGCAGAGTCCTTTTCTAATTTCCTAACAAAATATTTAATTTGCTCGTTAGTAGAGTTCCTTTCTCCTTTTCTTGGCGATATATTCAGTTTGCTCGTCAGTAGAGTTCCTTTCTTAATTTTTAACAAAATATTTAATTTGCTCGTCAATAAAGTCGCTTTTTATTTTTTCTAATAAGATATTTAATTTGCTTGTCAGTAGAGTCCCTTTCTTAACTTTTGGACAAGATATTTAAGTTGCTTGTCAGTAGAGTCGCTTTTTCATTTTTCTAACGATATATTATTTAGTTTTCTCGTGAGTAGAGTCCTTTTCTTATTTTTTTACGAGATATTTAGTTTGCTTGTCAGTAGAGTCCTTTTGTTATTTTTCCAACAAGATATTTAATTTGATTGTCAGTAGAGTCCCTTTTTTCATTTTTTTGACAAGATATTTAGTTTTTTTATTTTTATTTAACAAGATATATATTTTGCTCGTCAGTAGAGACCTTTTTTTATTTTTTCAATGAAATAGTTGATTTGCTTGTCAGTAGATTCTTTTTCTTTTATTTTTCTAACGAGATATTTGATTTGTTCGACGGTAGAGTCCCTTTGTTAATTTTTCAGCGAGATATTTAATTTTCTCGTTAGTAGAGTCCCTTTTTCATTATTATTCCAAAGAGATGTGAAATTTGCACACATCGAACAGTGCGCATAATTTTGTAGGAATTAAGTTTATGACGGGTATATTCGTCATGATGAGTATATTCGTCAATCACAAGGTAAGTTGATGTTGGTAAGATATTGCATGACAAATACGGGTTGAAAAATCTTATCATTACATTTTCCTTCTTTGTTACCATAAACACATATTACATACGTTTTAAATTAAATTTAATAAAATATTTTACATATGTAATGTAATATTTGTATAATGTAATAATGTAGGAAATTTTTTAATGAAAAACAAAAATTTAGTTTCAAAATTAACAGTAGGAAATGTTCAACTATATTATTTCCACAATTTATGAAAAGTTCATGTAACTTGCCTTAAGGCACTCACAACTACTTCTTTTACAGTAGAGTTCCTTTTTTATTTTTCATGCGAGATATTTAGTTTGCTCATCAGTAGAGTCCTTTCCTTAATTTTTTAACGAGGTGTTCAATTTGCTCGTTAGTAGAGTCGCCTTCTCTTTTTCTTGACAATATATTCAGTTTGCTCGGCAGTAGAGTCCTTTTCTTATTTTTCTAACGAGGTATTTAATTTACTCGCTCCCTTTTTTAAATTTTTCAACGAACTATTTATTTTGCTCGTTAGTGGAGTTCTTTTCCTATTTTTCTAGTAAGATCTTTAATTTGCTCGTAAATAGAGTCCATTTCTTATTCTTACAACAAAATATTTAGTATGCTCGTCAGTAGAGTCCCTTTTTTATTTTTTTTTTTACGAAATATTTAATTTGCTTGTCAGTAGAGTTTCTTTCTTAATTTTCCAACGAGATCTTTATTTTGCTTGCCAGTAGAGTCCTTTTCATAATTTTTTTAATAAGATATTTAATTTGCGCGACAGTAAAGTCCCTTTCTTATTTTTTAACGGTATATTCAATTTGCTCGTCAGTAGAGTCCCTTTGTTATTTTTCTAGCTACATATTTAATTTGCTTGTCAATAGAGTCCCTTTGTTAATTTTTTTAACAAGATGTTCAATTTGTTCGTCAGTAGAGTCCCTTTCCTGTTTTTCTAACGAGATATTTAATTTGCTCGTCAGTAGAGTCCATTTTTTATTTTTCCAACGAGAACTTAACATTTTAGAACGTATTTTGTTTTTTTCAAAAATTTCAATTCTTCATACACATGACGTATATATTCGTCAATGCTCAAAATTATGCTGCTTTTCCTTGACGAATAAACACGTTTAAACATAAAATTATACTACTTCTTTATAATGAATATGCACATCATATCATACAAAACTCCGTATCTTCCTTTTGACGGATATACACGCCAATACACAATATTATGTCACTTTTATTAACAAATATAAACGTCAATACATGAAATAATGCCATTTTTTAATAACTATCACACACGTCCGTACACAAAATTATAATATTTTATAATGAATATGCACGTCAGCATTTTAAATTCTATCTCTTCTTCATGACGGATATACACGTTAATACACAAAATTATATCACTTCTCTATGACTATTATACTCGTTAATACACAAAATTATGCTACTGTTTCGTGACAAATATACACGCAATTATGCCATAATTTCATTACAAATATACACACAAATATAAACGTCAATAAACAAAATTATGCCACTTCTCTATGACGATTATACACGTCAGTACACACAATTATGCCATATCTCACATACGAATATACACGTCGATACACAAATTGATTTTATTTTTCTACGACAAATATACACGTCAATGCACAAAATAACTGTTTCAATGCATAAAAAACATCTTAAAGAATGACTAATATACTCGTCAATACCCAAAATAACTACACGAAATACCTGTTTTATAAGAATGACAAATATACTCGACAATACACAAAATAACTGTTATATGAGAATGACAAATACACACGCCAATACTTTATAATTACTTTATAAGCATGACGTATATATTTGTCAATACACAAAATAACTATTTTATAGGAATAACGTATATACTCGTCAATACACGAAATAACTGTTTCATAAGAATTACAACTATATACGAGGTCTGTTCAAAAAGTACCCGGAATTTTCGTTTTTTCAAAAAAATATTTATTTATTCGTCTACATTAATGTGGTCCCCTTCAAAGTAGTCCCCCCCAGATATAATACACTTATGCCAGCGTTTTTTCCAATTTTCGAAGCACCCTTGATATTCACTTTTTGATATGTCCTTGAGCACTCTCGGCGATTCGGCCTTTATTTCTTCAATCGAGGAAAACCGCCGTCCTTTCATGGGTCTCTTCAACTTTGGGAATAGGAAAAGGTCACACGGAGCCATATCTGGTGAATTTTTGCACTTTGCAACACTTTATTTCATTTTTTACGCAAAATTTAATACAAATTCTTTGACTTTTCAATTCTTCCATTGTAAAAATCGCCGAGCTCAGAAAAACACGTCGAACCTTAGCGACTACCACAGACAAAGTAAACAGTGAATATAGCTGAAAATTTCATCATACTTTAGGAGCATGTATACCAACACAATAAAAAAAAAATTTTGACAATCAGACACTCCAGACCCGCGAAATTTAAAAATTCCGGGTACTTTTTGAACACACCTCGTACATTAATACACGAAATAACTGATTTATAAGAATGACGAATATATTCGTCATCAAATTTTCAAATCAGATTTTTGAGTGATGATATAAACTCTTCTTGCGGTAAGTTAATAATTATACTCGTACATTTGATTTTTTCAAAACATTCTTTATTTTCGAATAAATTCATGAAATTACACAATTCAACGATGATTTATATTATAATACACTATTTTTTCTGTTTAAAACTAATTTGACAGTTTTGTAATTATTCTGACAGTTATCACAATTAACAACAAGACACAGGTACATCGAAGACTCACATTATATTAATAAATATTTATTTTTACAAATATAATAACTATTCAGGAAAAAAATATAATAAAAACATATGTCCTAGTTTGATTTCAATATTTAAATAATTTAAACGAAGTATTACGTAATCAAGTATTTACT